AAAGGTTTCCTGAGGGCTCATGTAATAGTCTACCTGTTTGTTGAATTTCAGGTGGCAGGATGGAAGGGGAGGTCACTTTAGATTCAGTCTATCAAGCTGTTCAAGCTTTGTACCACCATCCAGACCCACAGGGTAAAGAGAGGGCCTCAGCCTGGCTGGGTGAATTCCAACAATCGGTAAGTGCTTCATTATAGTCATTTGCATATTGTTGTTGCTTAGAATTAAATTCCTACCTGCAATCCAGCACCATATTCTGGCAGAAACTATTACCTCTATTTATTTCCCCTCAATATTGCTGTGAAGATTAGTTCATGTTCCGCTAGAGTTCAAAATTATGAAGACTTAGGATAGCGGATTAGACCAGTGTCATTCTGTAGAAACCTCAGACTACTCACAGATATGATTCCAGTGATGATGTTTTAGCCAGTACCATTAATTTTATTCCCAAACACTGCTTAGTACACAAGTACATACTCTACACCTGTATTTATTCACTGCACATTCATCACCATTTAGCGTGCAATTTTCTAGGTTTTGCTTCTATTGAACTGTTAAATTCTGGAAGAAGGGCCACTGGACTTGAAACGTTAACTCTGTCTCCTCTCTACAGATGCTGCCATACCTGCTGGGTTTTGCCAGCATTTTCTGTTTTGTTTTGTTTCAAAACTCTAGCATCTGCAGTTCTTTGATTATGTTATTGTTGAATTCTGGTGTCAGTTTCAGTCAACACAACTGTGTGCAACACATGTTAATATTCACAACTGACCCACTGCCCGCTCTCAACCCCATGAGTATTGAGGTTGCAGTCCCAGCAACAGAGTCTATTACTCACTTTTAAACATTTTCTCAGCAAAAATATGCTTTGGTCACCTGGATTGTCTGAGCTGCACGTGAATATTGGCTCACATACCTGGGCAGAGGTGTTGGTGTAGTGTTAATGTAAATGAAATTGGTAATCTAGTAGGCCACGTTTAAACGCGTCTAATAATATGCTTTTAAGCAAGGAAATTTGCCATCATCTTCAAACCCTGCTCCCCCTCCCCCAATTCCCCATCCAACCCTAGACACACAGCAATGTAGTATCGTTTTACTGCCTTTTGAATTGGTCTAGTGAGCCACTCGGGTCAAAGGGATGGGCAACAAATCGTAGTTTTGCCAACAACCATTAAATCCTATGAAAAAATAAGGGGAGCAATCACTAGGCGATGCTGTATTAGAACAGTGGTTCTTGGAGAGCAGCACATTGAGTACTATTTTGATAAAAGTAACATGAAATTACTAATTTTCTTCTTATAAGGTTATTTGACATCTGTACTTGGATTCAGCACTGTATCTTCTAAAGTTGGTTATGTTTGTACTCTGTACAGATCTGTCTAATAGGTGCTGGTGTTCTGCAGACCTGTTGCAGATGGTGGTTGTTGTGACAACCACTTGAATTGAAGTTTCATTGCAGTGCTGAAATCCTCATTTGAAATATAATTTCTTGTTGGAATCTGGATTATCAAGTAGCGCCTACGCAAAAACAAAATCCTGAGAGTAACCTGGAGTATCTAACAAAAGTCCAGGTTTAGGATCATAATGTCACTAGACCATTGGTTCCCTTCCTACTGTCCTGGTAGATATATGATACAACAATACTGGAGTTGTTGATTAATCATGGTGATCATAGAAACATAGAATATAGGAGCAGAAATAGGTCATATGGCTCTTGGAGCTTGCTCTGCCACAATGATTGCAGCTAATTATCCAACTGAATTCTTTGGTCCCACTTTCTCCCCATATTCTTTTATCCCTTTAGTCCTTAGAACAATATCTACAATTTTCTTAAGTCTTCAGTGTCTTAGCCTCAGTAGTTTCCTGTGGCAGAGAGTTCCGTAGACTCACCACACTCTGGATGAAGAAATTTCTCCTTGTCTATGTCCTAGTAGGCCTACCCTTTATCTTGTGACTCATGATTTTGGACTCCCAGGTCATTGAGAACATCCTCCTGCATCTACCCAGTCTAAATCTCGAACTTCATAGATTTCTATGACATTCCTTCCCCATCATTCTTCTAAACTCTAGTGAATGTAGTCCTAACTGATCCAGTCCCTCCCTGTATGTCAGTCCAGCCATCCCAGGAATCACTCTGATAAACTTTCTTTGCACTTTCTCAATGGCTAGAACATCCCCATTCAGACAAGAGGACCAAACTGCACACAGTATACCACATCTTACTGATGCCCTGTATGGTTTGAACAAGATGTCATTACTCCTGTACTGGAATCCTTTTGCTATGAAGGCCAGTGAAACATTTGCGCCATCACTGCGGGCTGCTTACTTTCAGCGACTGGTGCCTGAGGACATGGAAGTCTCATTGTATCTCCCCAATTTATCACCATTCAGATAATCTACCTGTTTTTGCTACCAGAGTGGATAACATCACATTTATCCCCATTTTACTGCATCTGCGCGCCTACTTAACGTGTCCAAGTCAAACTGAACCTTCTCTGCACCCCGCTGCTTGCAGCATACCCTCCCACCCAGCTTTGTATCATCTGCACATTTGGAGATATGACATGTAGTTTCCTCATCAGTCTCCATGAATGAATATACAACAGACCGAGACAAGGTGAGGAAAGCCCCTGATGTTGGAGAATTTTGGAACCAGAGTCACCTGCTCCCTGCCATGTGTCACTATATGTACAGCTTGTAATTTCTTGAAAGAAACTTGTCTGTATTCAGTCTGAATAAATCAACACTAATGACTTCTAAGGGGGTTTTGTTTAATTCCATACCTACTGTGAAAATCGTGTAAATGTTAACCAACTTGTTGTTCCTTTTGGCCAGATGTTTTCATGGCAGATCTCTGACCAGCTGCTGCGGCTCCAGCGTGACATCGAGTCATGCTATTTTGCTGCCCAAACAATGAAGATGAAAATTCAGTATTCGTTTTATGAGCTACCCCCAGAGATGCACTCCTCACTCCGCGATTCTTTGCTCACGCACCTGGAGTGCCTGAAGGATCTGTCCCAGGCCATCGTCACACAGGTACATCGGGGAGTTAGCTCAACACTTACACTCACTCACTGAAGAATCTGATTGTGGCCTTTCCACCCCTGGGTCCCAGACTCCTGTCCAGTATACGTACAGGTGTAAAGGTCTTCCTTCTTCTACCCTCACCCTAGACTTGCCTTTGTCTCCTTCACCATTTTTCTGCTGACCTGGCGTTCTGTTAGCATCAATAGATATTGTTGTCATTCACCGTGGATGGATTTCGATATTTGTGTGAACTTGAGGGACGTTTTGATGAAGCCCAATTCTACACTCGGGCTCCTACAGACACCCACAGAATGTATATAGATTAGGTGCAGGAGTAGACTATTTTGCTCCTCAAGCCGTTTATTAAGAGTGTAGCCAATAAGATTTAACCTTATCAACTTTCCTATCTAATCCCCATAAACTTCAGGGGAGGAATTGCCGTATTGGTAATGTTACTACACTGGCATTCTAGAAAGCCAGACTAATGTTCTGGGGACCACTAACCATTGTTGATTGTCATTTTTAAAAAAAAAAGGGCCTGGCCCATTAATGTCTTATAAGAAATGTGCCATCCTTACCTGGTCTAGCCTACATGTGACTCCACACACACAGCAATGTGGTTGACTCTTAACTGTTCCCTAGGCAATTAGGGATGCAGTAAATGGTAACCTAGCCCACAATGCCTACATCCCAAGAATGAATTTTTAAAAAATACCGTGCCCTCCCCTCTAACTCATGAATCTTAAAAAGTAATTAAATGTTCCTGATTTTTATCTCTCTGGGGCAGAAAATTTAACAGACTAAGGACCCTCTGAGATATTTTTAAAAAAAAAAAACCTCCACATCATTCTTATGGTGCAATAAGATCAGAGAGACTTGTTCAGGCATTGTACTGTCCTGCAGCAGATCATTCAGATTGTGGATTGAACCTAAAATTTTGCATTTTGTATCTGGTAGCTGAGTGATCATTTCAGTGTTCTGATATGTGACTTATTCTGCTGGCAAGGTCAACGTCATACAGTATTGAGTTGTCTCGTTGACAAAATAACATTGAAACTGCGACATGGAGACAGGTTGTCTCCACTTTAGCAGTAGTCCGAAACCTATGGGGTATTCTGTTCCCATTTTGTTTTGTTTCAAATCACTTACCTAATCTTAAATGGTGTAATTTCTCTGCTCCACTCCAGTAATGCATTATATAGCTTCACAAACACTTCACCAGAAAATATTTTCTCATGTGCCGTGTTTAAAGTTGATGCATTGAATCTTGTTTCCGCCCTTTTTTTTTTTTTGGACCCCTTAATTACTAGAATCCAGCAACTATCATTACTGTGAATTTCCATCCATCATGTCATCTCGGCATCATCTTTGCCTTAACCAAAATAGCCACCATTTTGAAGTCGGTGTTTACGTTTCCTCATGCTAAGCAGGTTCCTGGTGAATTTGTGCAACACCTGATCTTTTGCCTGTTGAGGGACACAAAATTAAAGTGGTAATGTCACTGTACTAGTAATCTAGCATTCTGGTCTAATGCTCTGAGGATGTGAGTTTAAATTCTACCCCACACCCCCATGACAGCTGGTGCAATTTAAATTCAGTTCATAATTCTGGAGTATAAAACTGGTCTCAGTAATGGTGATCATGAAACTATCATCGATTTTCAAAAGAACCCACCTGGTGCGTTTGGAAACCCTCTCAGTTCAAGGGCAATTAGGGATGGGCAACAAATGCTGATATTGCCAGTGGAACCTATGTCCTATGAAAGAAGGATGCAGTAAAACAAATTCCATGCTTTAGCGCTCAAATCAACGATGTAGTCTAGTTATTTTCTAGGGAAACTGTTTCTAAATTGATTATTAATCTAATTTTTTTTATATATTCTGTCTCTCTTTTCATAAAACCAACCCAGTATTCAGTTAGCGCTGTTTAAAGATGGCTGATAAATCTGAAAACCTTACCCTTCCTGCTGCCACCCCTAGCCTTTTTGCTCTTCCCGATTATCCAGGTGTCTCTCCCACCTGACCCCTACTCCCAAATTCAAAGTGTAATTAATGTTTGGAACATAAACATTCCCAAAAAGAGGCACGAGGCCAAGGATTTTATTTCGGACTTAACAGGAGTGACACGCGAGGAGCCATACTTAGAGAGGGAAAGTGAATTTAAACTGCATGAGAATGGTATGCTAAGTGGCTGGACCATGATTAGTATGGAGATGCAGTGGGAACTATTAACTGTCAATTTCAGTTAGCTGAAAAAACACTTGGGTGAGGTAGGTAGACTCTGATTGATCAGACCAGTGCCATGGGGAATGCAGGTGGGATTCGCAGTCTCCATTACCTGTTCTCAATCAAAAAGGTGCAATGTATGGACATTTCTTTCACCTCAAAGAGAGCAGGGTCCTCTGTTAATATATGTATCGATTCCAGTAAGCACAAATGAATCTCACTGGACTTATCTAATGATCAAAATTTGGTTTCCGGTGTTACTCGTAGCAGAGTCAAGTTTATTCAGTAAATATTGTTCAGTAGCAGAATCTCATCTGATGTTGGAAATGATGTTCTAAAGTTTGCAAGCACAGTTTGGTTGAACACAGTTGGTGAGCTGCACACTGAATGATGCAAGGGATGTATTGTTTGATATGGTCCATGAGCCATCAGGATGTACAACTTACATAACTGGCACCACACCAGCTCTGATACCACATTACTTATTTGTGTGGGAGGCAAAAATGTCTTACTGGCTTGGCAGCAGTATCCTGTTAATGTAGCAGACTACTCGTGTGTACTGCAAAGTAACAGCGTGAGACAGCCAGCTTCATTCAAATGTTTGAGACACCTTCCTAGATCACAGTGTGATTCATTCATGCAAATTGGAAGCTTACACGTATTAACTCAAAGGACTCCGCTCCTCGTAGGCAAAGGGAATTTGTCCATATTTTGTACCTTTTTCATTTGAGGAATGAGTCGGGGAGACAGGTCAGCTAATCCCTTTACGGAAACCAAATCAATGGGTCACAAATGTAACACAGTAACCAATAAATTCAATATGGATTGAGGGCAAAATCTCTTTCTGCACAGTCACTATGGTAAATAATATGACATTCACGGGGAAGCTAGTTATTTGAGAGGGATAACAAGGACTTACTGATAGGTTTAAATGAAGAGGAATGGTGGAGATTTGTAGGGAGTATGTGTTTACTAGTTGGACAGAATGACCAGCTTCCAGGGGGCTAATTTATGCAATTCCTAGTCGTCTTTCATTTCATTAGATTTTAAACCCATTTCACTTCTCTTTCACCTATTTTTCTAATCAGGCCTGTTCAGAGATGTTATTATGCATCTCTGGAACAGGTGGGTTTCGAACACTGACCTCTCGGTCCAGGGACAGGGACATTACTACTGTGCCACAAGAAGGCCCTTTTGCTGCTCTTTCAATTAATGCTCTTTAATTTGTTCTGTTTGTCTTCTCTTTGGCACCTGGTCAAAGTTTGGAGGATCTGAATTTTAAAGGAACTTGATCTGAATTCAGATCTTAAAGGAACCTGGTGGAACATGAACGTTGTTAAAGTGAAGCAAGTTGTCAAAGTTCTTCATCTTGCACTCACCGGACAAAAGCAAGAATACCAAATTTCAAATCATCATGGCAGTTTATACTACAGAAGGAGAGTGCTAATTGGTCGTTATATCTTCTGATTGGCCCAGACATTGCCAAGGCAAAGGCAAGAAGGATCTCTAAAATCCCCAAGCTCCCAGTAATTTAAAAAAGATGCAAAGCTTAAACTTATTCTTTTTGTTTGCAGAGGGTTCCCTGCATATGAATGTATGTCGCGTATAGTGAGCGTAGTTGACCTGCATTATTAGCTTAACTGATTATCTTAAATTGTTAGCATCGGCATTAGCAAAGGAAGCTATTAAGAACCTGATAAACGGCACTGATCCTGACTGAGCCAGAAGCATCTGAAAATGGAGGTAAGCATAGAGCGAGTTTGATTGAGTAAGACCTTGTTAGTTGTTAATTGTAGAGTGATTGAATATTGAATTATATTCAGGTGGTGGGCTTTAACTGGGCATTTTCTTGAGCTCCTAAATTTGAAAGCTTTGGCTTTTTGTTGCAGTGCCCGTTAAAGGGTGATTCATTAGTTATTTGTGAGTTCTGTTCATTTTATGCTGTACTAAATATATAGTAGCTCAGGTTTGAACAGTGGTCATTGAGGTTTGGATGGCCATGTTTATAATGAGTATCTGTATCTCTGTAAATAAAAGGTGCTCAAGTGTGAAATGATCAGGTTGCAGTTCTTGCCTTCACCGTCTAGTTTTCTGGATTGGAATAATTGGATCCTTGGGGGCACTACAGTTGTAGTTTGATCAGCCAGTCACTGTGTTGTAGGGTGAAGAAAGGTTTCTGAAGAAGGGTCTAGGCCCAAAACGTCAGCCTTCCTGCTCCTCTGATGCTGCTTGGCCTGCTGTGTTCATCCAGCTCTACACCTTGTTATCTCACTGTGTTGTAGGGTGTTGGTCCCAGTTACAGTTGGGGAAATGCTAAAATGTAAAGTAAAATACTAGTATCTCTGCCCTGTGTGTACAACAAAGTGTGCCAGTGATTAAGCACAAATAGTCTTTTCCTCTTGTTTTTTTTTCAACAACAATAATTACTCACTTTCTGTTTTGGACCCAGCTGGCTCTTGCTGTTGCAGACCTAGCCATACAGATGACATCATGGAAAAGCTGTGTCCAAACGCTAATTGAGAAGTGAGTGTTTTCTTATACATTTAAAGATGTGGGGCACTGGTGGACGAATGATTATTTTCTGGACCAGAGGCTTGGACTCTGAATCCAGGAACACTTATTCAGATTCCACAATGGCAGTTGCGGAACTTTCATTCAATTAATTAAATAAATGTGGAATTAAATCTAGTATCAGTAATGATGATCATGATTTGCATCTGGTTTGCTTATATCCCTTAGGGAAGCAATCTGTCCTTTATTATCCAGTCTGGCCTCTGTGTGTTTCCAGACCTACAGCAATGTGGTTGGTTGGTTGCTAACCGACTTCTGAAGTCAGGAAGATATTCTGTTGTAATGAAGAATGTGGCTCATCACAATTTTCTCAACAGCGTCCAGAATGGGTGATACATGCTGATCTTGCCAGTGATGCCCAACATCCAGTGAATGAATAAATTAAAATGTCTTCCTTTATCTGTCTTGGCCCATGTACCCACACCCCGTAGTGTTTGCTCTGGACTCCGAAAAGGTGCTTATCAAAAGTGGAATCCTCAGAATTTGCTGGGGTGGGCGGCCAGGTTAACATCATGGGAGTTCTTTTAGCCTCTTGAGTATTCCCATTGCTTTCTGTTTCTCCTCCTTAACCCCATGTTATTGCAAAATTTGTGACATGGAATTGTTCACTGGAAAGTTTTGAGGTTTGCTCAATCTTTTTACAAAAGAGACTCATGGCTGGCTGAGGGAACCATTTACTCCACTCATCAACCAGTGCTATTCTGAATCTAGGCTTCAAAGACAGCCTTCCAATATGGATCAGAATCCCTAGGCCAGCTTTGATAAGAATAAAAAATGCTGGAAATACTCAGCAGGTGAGGCAGCATTTGAAAAGAGAGAAACCATTTCAGATTGAGATGACTTTTCATCCGCACATTCTGTTATGAGTTTTTCAGCTGAAAGTCAACTGGAGCAGAAGCATTAACTCTGTTTCTCTTTTCACATGCTGCCTGACCTGCCAAGAATTTATTTGATTTTTATTGGTTTATGTTTTGGTGCATCCACTATCCGTTGTATTTTGCTTTTGTGTGCCCAGACCTGCTTTGGGTGTTTAAAGAAGGTTTGACTGATCTCTCTTCCACGTGTGCTGACTTGTAGGTACGGCAATGACGAGTCTGCACTCCCATTCCTGCTGGAGATTCTGACAGTGCTCCCAGAGGAGGTGCACAGCCCCTCGCTACGAATCGGCACCAACCGAAGAACTGAGGTCATTGAAGACTTGGCCTACAATGCCAGCATGGTAATCGCCTTATTGGTGAGTTATTGTTGGTATCGAATTTCGTCTGACTGCACTTGTCTGTGTGACTCTGTGCAAAATAAAATCATGGTATCTGCAGCACTGACCTGTTGCCCATCCTCCTTTTAATGTGCTAGCTTTTGGAGTGCAGTTCCACAGGCACTGCCATCTTGTCCAAGTAGCCACTCAAGCCGAAGTTATGAAATATCAACAGGCTCTTCAGTCGGTCAGTGTCACAATTCAGCTCTATCCTGTCCTTAGCAGATACCCAAATGCCTGAGCACCCTGGAGGAATCATTAGACAGTGATCGGGAACTGCATTCTCGACAATTTTCCTCCAAGGCCAGTTCCAGTAGACCATTTTATTTTTAAGCATGCAGTGATAGCATCGTCTCCTTTCCAGCCACATTTCTGCTAAATGGTGGTTCTTCCACTGACCCTCAGTTAACTGAGGAGAATTGCTTGAAGGCTGACCAGCTTTAGACAAAGTGTTGAATCTGGACTGACTTTAATCACGGAATTCATAACTGTAGTTTTGAAAAAGAAACACACATACAATGTTATAAATGAACAGAAACTATTATCTTCAGATTTAATCTCTTAATATTTGCATTTTGTACAACTCTTGTTTGGCTTTTTGACGGTTAATGCAGACCTTTCCACGGATTTCAACACCCAAGGGGGATTGAGAGAAATTTCTCAGCATTCTTTCTCCTGGGTTTTTCATCTTCATTGCAGCCCTCAAACAATCACATGATTTGCACTGTTTTGGGGATATTGTGATGCATCAGAGATTGCAGTTTTGTGGTAGAGGCTGCATGCACCAAAAGTTTTACTTTTTCTTTTCATTACTGTGCATTTATATAGCGTTTGTTTGGGTTTCAGACTAGAGATTAACGGACCTTCTAAGGGGCCGAGGTTCCTCTTACAGTCTCTCCAAAATACCTATTGTCAAGAAGTCCTTCAAGACATTAAACGGTGCAAGTGAGTTGTATTGAGGTTGCGTTTTATGAAGTTTCACTTTGTATGTGGGCATTTTTCAGACAGCCTACGTGGAGCGCTGTAGTCATGATGAGAAGTTGGTAATTAAAGTCTTCCGATGCTTGATGAGCTGGATTAACCTGGGCATCCTGCACAACGATCACATCGCTAACAGCCAGTTACTGGTGGCACTCTTCCAAGTACTTGTGAGTATGAACTAAGCAACTAATCAGCTTGCCAAAGTCAGTATTTTAATTGGGAAAATGCCAGTGTCTTTTATTAAATGTAGTTCTCTTCAGTCTTCTTTTGAAAGTTTCTGTCTTAGGCTGAGTGCTGATCCACAGACTGCAGTCGTGAGCAAGACTCTTGACTAGTTTCCCTCTTCACAAAGTATGGGTGCCAGGGTCAGTGTAGTAGCTAATTTGCCCTTTATGCCCATTTGATATCAGTTTGCGTAAACAAGGGATTGAAACTGGCACCTTCTAATTCTGTGGAGTACCTTTACCCACAACGGCAGACCTATCCCTTCCATTTAGTTTGTGCCATCCATAGTAGCAACTTGGGAAATGCGTGCCCTTTGGCATCATATCATTCTCACCCTTATTAGTACTTGCTTGGTCTCTTGTAATTTTAATCTTACTTGACTGCAAGCTCAGGATTGTTTACGGTCACATTGACCATATCTTTATTGACATTATTGCGAGGGAGCTGAGCTGTCAGAGAATTATTAGTTCCAGTGGCTCCAGTTTTAAGAATTGCCCTTCCTTCCACACCTAAAGGCCTCTATGTTCTATCTCATAATGTGTGAACTAATTCTTCATATGTGAACCTAGATTGATTATTGTCAGCAGGCTGTTTGACCAGGCAGTGCATTACGGTAGAGCCTGATGGTAATTTCACACAGAACGTGCTCATGTGACCAAAGGTGGAATAACTTGAGCCATTGACTTAAATCCCGCACACAGCCTAAATTGGAACCAGTGTATTGTCTGCAGTCCAGATGAGATCAGCCAAATCCACTTGGCCTGGGAATTGAAGATTGTGCCACCAAGAACAGAAGGCCCTATGTTGCACCTGGCAGTTTAATCTGCTTACAGGGCCAGCCTTTGTCTTTATAATGATCTGTTTCTCCCCAGTTGACATTGTGTGGTAGTTTTGTTCTGCGAACCCAGGAAACTTATGCCTGCTGATCCTCGGCCTTTGTCTGGCCTCTGTAGTGTTTAATCCCAATCCCAGAAAATTGTGTTGGTGTTCTGGTTTGTTTACGGTCTCATTGACTGTGTTTGTGTTGACGTTGCCTCCAGTAGAGCTTTGCTTTATCCTCTGTTAAAGGAACACACCCTAAGCGAGGAACTAAAAGGGAAGGTCTGCGTTTAATTCTGTTTGGAGAAATGGTCTGTTGTAGGATATCACATTTGCTGGTGAAATTTGGCAGAGGGCAAAGGGATGGTGATGAACGATAGTTGTGTGTTCTGCCATGTCAGTGAAGCATTGTCCACTTATTGTTCTGATTTAAATCCCAGTGACAAATAAAGCCAAGGTGAGGGGGTGATGCAGTTGCTGGACAACCCAGAAAATCAAGAAAGTCAAAGTTGGTTCTCCATTTCGTGACTTTGTTTGAAAATGTAGCTGTGGATATGCTCCAGTGGTTCAGAGCGATTGTTTAAAAAGGAACATTGTAGCACTAACTTCAATTGGATTAGAAGACTTCCGGTCTGGTCACTGATTTGCATTCAGAACGAATCACGTTTCAGGGTTACCCTAGTCTCCAAGTTAGTGAGAAGAAAATCAGCCAGAGTTCCTGCAATCCAGTCTTTGAGAAGTGTGTAGATGTCGAGAATATTAGGTCTAAGGTATTCCTCCACCTGCTCAACCTCTTGACGAGTAGTAGGAGGCCTCTTGGTTGAAGGTGCCTCAGCAAAAATCACCACCTTCCTGAGGAGAGGGTGATGACTTTATTTGTGTTGTAATGGTTTATTTATATCTTGGAAAGGATGAAAACTGGCTGAAAAGCTGCTGAACTGACTGTGTGTCACAGGGTTATCAGATGTAATTGACACTAGACACTGAAGTTTTTGGGGATAGTTAAGCTAGCCAGAAAGCCATCTCACTCCTCCCAGTGAGTCTCTGCCATGGGGGATGTCTCCCCATTGTCATGCACAGACAGGACAAGAGGTGAACCACAGTCTGTCCTGCATGGCTTGTCACCATCATGTCCTGTTGAAGGCCTTGCTCTCTGAAGCATCGAGGATCTGTTATACAGGAATTTTTTTTTTTCATGCTGACTCACTGGAGCATAACCAGGAGTAAAGTCTGCTTTGTAAACCCAGTGTTGCATCCTGAGCACAAAATCCAGGCTTGTGCACCAGTTCAGTATTAAATGAATGCTGTGACCGTGTTGATGAGACATTAAACTTGACTGCATGTTCTACTGGCTCTCAATGTGTTTTAAAGAAGCAAGATGGCATTCAAAGAAAAATGGGCAATTCTGTTGGTGCCTTGATCAATACTCCTCTTAACCCATACCACCGATGTGTCATTTAACTCATTGATTTGTGTGTGTGCGTTGCGGGGGATGCGGGGTTCTCCTACTCAACAGATTGGTTCCTATGTTTGTCTATTTAACGGTGACTGCACTTCAGTGTAATTGTTTGTGAAATGTTTTGGTATGCTTTTGAGATGTAATCAAGCATGTGAGAAATGCAAGTCTTTCTGTGCATGTTTGAGTAGGATGTAATGTTCACGATAATGGAACTGCAATGCTTGAGAAGTGTTGAAAGAGAAATTGTACCTGAATTTCAGAGACACAACCAGACGTCCTCCAACCTGCACGAGGTTGCGAGTGACTGTGTATGCGCAGCACTTTATGCAGTCGAGGGCTTGCAGGAGAGTCTACAGCTGGCATTACAGCTTCAAGAAGGGGTGACAGCACTGGAAGAAGCCTACCACACTGCAGTCGCCTGTGAGGACATGGACAAGTATGTTACAGTTACGTTCCACGCTTGGCTTTGGCTTGGGTATGTAATGATGCTGGAATGCTTTTGTGAGGATCAACTTGGGCATCTGCTGGTTAAGGCAGCAAATACAGTCTAGGTTCGACTCCTGGCCTCTGCGAGTAAGTTGATGTCATCCAGGCCAAATTTAAGCAGAAATCATTCTGGAGGCAATGAGAGCAGTCTATTTTACAAAAGCAAAATCTATTTGAACAGCAAACTACAGCAAACAGTTTGCAGAATTTACACAGTACAGCAAACACAACTCATGATTGAAACTACCACAAAGCACCCTGATAAAAGGAGGTTCTGAGCAGGTTCTGAGGAAGGGTCACCAGACCCGAAACGTTAACTCTGTTTTTTCCTTCACAGATGCTGCCAGACCTGCTGAACTTTTCCAGCAACTTTGCTTTTGTTCCTGATAAAAGGAGGGTTATTGCACACCGAAGTGGTGGATAGTTACATGTGTGTCTATAATCCAAAGCAATCATTTACATCAGTGCAGTCTCCAGGTATAATGATGGAGGAAGTCTCTCAGTCACTTCCATTCTTATCCATGATAGTGATATTGTATGCAGCTGGATTTAGGGAACCTATGATAGGCCTCAGTGTCCCTGTGGCTAGAGAGTTTTTTTTAATACTGTCTGCCTCTAATCTCCAGCTGGTCATTCCTACTAGAAAATCCAGTGGTCTGGACAGGGAGAGGGTAGGGGATGGTGACTCAGTGTAATAGGAATGGCCAGTGGCAGAATAGTTGCATTGCTGGAACTTGCATGTGAAGGCTGACCAAACACCTGGATAAGGTATTGACTGTTACAAGCGTTTATGGAATCCTAAGTGGCCTAGTGGTATTATCACTAGAATATTAATCCATTGACCCAGGTAATGTCCTGGAGTCCTGGGTTAAAATTCCACCCCAGCAAATGGTGGAATTTGAATTCAATTTAAAAAAACCCGGAATTAATAGCCTAATCGTGATGTGGAAGCGCCCATGTTGGACTGGGGTGGACAAGGTCAGAAATGACACGACACCAGTTTCTCGTCCAACAGGTTTATTTCGAAAACCCAAGCTTTCAGAGTTTCACTCTCTTTCTTCAGGTATTAGTGAGAGAGGTAGTATCAGACACAGAACTTATAAGTAAAATATCAAAGGGTCACACCACTGATGAGGATATATTAAACAACCCTAAGATGCTGTTAAATCTTTAATCAGTTAGAAGGTTTTAATTGTTTAATATGTATATGTAAATCCCCAATTCCTTTAAAATCACTATCCTGAGAGAACTAAAAGTTTTATCAATGTAAGAAAGAATTGACGTTTTAGGTCAGACAATGCATGTTAGGTGTAAGGCCTTGTTTAGAATCTGTGGTTTGGTTTGGAGTCAGACTGGTTTTATTTCTAAAGGAATTTATAAAACGCCACATTGACTGTTTAACGCACAATTTATAAAAACCCTATCGATTTTTGTGTGTGTGTGTGTGTGTTTGCAGGGGGGCAGTGGGAGAAGACTGTGAGAGTGTGTGTGTGTGTATGTGTGTGTGTGTGTGTGAGAGGGGGGGCGGGGGGAGAGAGGAGAGAGAGTGTGAGGGGAGGGAGAGAGATGGGCACCTCTCGACAATTGTCGGATAGGAATGTTCCCTCCCAGTGGGGAAACATTTCAGCAGACAAAGACAGTCAGCCTCGGATCTTCGGGTAAATGTCCTCCAAGGTGGACTTTGGGATACACAACAATACAGAGTCGTCGAGCAGAGCCACATTCTGTTCCCATGAGGATGGCCTCAAGTGGGATCTTGGGTTCATGTCGCATTACAGATGACCTCACCACACTAGACACGCACATTCTCTCTCACATGCGCGCACACACAAATCTATGGCGTAAATTTGTATTTGCAGATACATTTTATTTTGTTCAAAAAGCATGCAATTTATAGACAGTCAATGTGGTGTTTTATAAATTCCTACTTTAGAAATAAAACCTGTCTGACCCCAAACCAAACCACAAACAGGTTCTAAACAAGGCCCCACACCTAACATGCATTGTCTGACCTAAAATGTCACCTCCTCTTTACACTGATAAAACCTTTAGTTCTCTCAGGTCAGTGCTTGGAAATTTGCATATACATATTAACCAATTAAAATCTTCTAACTGATTAAAGATTTAACAGCACCTTAGGCTTGTTTACTACATCCTCATCAGTGGTGTGACTCTTTGATCTTTTACTTATAAATTCTGTGTCTGATGCTACTTCTCTCACTCACACCTGAAGGATTGAGTCTAATGATGACCGTGAATCCATTTGTTAATTGTTGAATAAACCCGTCTGGTTCACTAATACCCTTTCGGGAAGGAAACTGCCATCCTTACCTGGTATGGCCTACATTGACTCCAGACCCATATATGGTTGACTCTTACACTGCCCTCTAGGCAATTAGGGATGGGCAATAAATGTTGGCTTAGTCAGCAATGCGCTCATCCTATGAATGAATAAAACAAAACCCTGCACAAATACTGCCTGCAGGAACAAATTGTTTAAAGGCTAGTAACTGAGTTATTGACAGCTTAGAAATTCGAAAAGTTAATCAAAGCTGTTTTAATTTGAATGATCTAATTATATTTTAAATGATTGCTAGGATTTCAATCAATTCAATTTCACTTTTTGCACTAAAGGCGACTTCAAAGTTTCAGGCATCTGTAGTTTTCATCACTGGCTAAATGATCCTATCAACTGCAGAAAGTCAAGTATAGTACTAACCCTGTTGTAAATTCTGTCACCCAAAGAAACGTGCCAACCTGTTTCTTAGACATAGCAAGGTGGCACTGACTGATAACATCTTTGTGGCAGCTGCTGCACTTTGCACAGAATGTCTTTTGAATGTGGAACTTGCTTGTCCGTTGAGTAGTTGACACAAGTAACTGATTACTTTTACAGGAATGTTAGAAAGCATATGACGCATAACTGAGCAGAAGGGTGAATTGATCAGGTTAGATGGAATGTGCTAGAAGGAGCATAAACACCTTCACAGAGAGGTGGAGCTGAGTGGCTGACACTTCCATGCTTTTGCACAAGCCTTAGCTCATGTTAGTTTAAATTGTGTTTAGTTATGTTTTAAACTGTCCACCTTTCATGATATGCTACCCCACACATGGTTAGTAAGTTAATTGGAAAAGTCACTGTGGAGTGCGTGGTTAATGGTGTGAAGTTACACTCTGAAATAAGAGAATGGAGCTTTAATCTGAGTTCAACCTTTGTAGCTGCAAGTGTGAAAATACTTGATAAATAGTATAAAGAAAGTTTTTTTTTGTGTCTAACCTGTGTTGAACTGAATAGAGTGTGCCAGGGTCAGTAGAGGGAGCCCTTGTACCATTTCTGACCCGAGACTTTGTGTTTTCCAGGGCACTGAACTATTGCCGGATTTTCACTGAACTGGCAGAAACGCTGTTGGAGATGGTTATCCGTTCACCAGGACAGGGATTGGGTGACCTCAAAACGCTGAATCTCATCTTAAACTGTGTTGGACATGAGCAGTATGAGGTCAGTTAATGCTCACCTTCAACCCAGTCAGTTCAGGTAACAGTGCTCATGTGTTGAGACCAGCATGTCCTAAACTGCTTAACCATAGAGCCACGCAAAAGATCCCTGTGCAGGCAGAAGCAAGTCAATCACTTTAAGCTACTTCAAATGCATGACCCCACAACTAAATTTATAGGAGTCATGTATTTAAACAAATTGCCCCCACACTTCAGAGAGTATATTGATTTGAGACTACCTGTTACTTGGACCTGCTGCCCGTCTGTGGGTTTTAGGCTCTGTGCATTTCACTAACCCCAAGTCAAAGTGCTGAGTTAAAAACAAAGCTATGTGTTCAGTCATAAAGGACGAGATAAATAACTGGGCTGTTCCAGTTCAATGAACTTGAATTGTGCTGCTGTTGTATTGTTCTTGACCAAACCAATTCCACTGATCACGCAGAAAGCAGTCTCAAAATTAAACTGCAGGCTGTAAATTCTGAATAGGTCCCAGGGTAGTACAAGAGACTTCAACACAAAATCTTGGCTACACTTCATTGAGTGTGCTGCACTGACAGAGGTACCATCTTTCAAGAGAATTGCTAAATCAGAACTTTCCAAACTTTTCTGGAAATGTAGTGACATTTTGTGGCTTAAAAGTTGCTGCTACCTTGGTGAGAGCAAGGTAGGAGGTAGAGATGATGAGAGAACGGGTGTGGGCGCTGGTATGGGAGAGTTACAGAGCTGAGTGAGTGGACCGGAGGAAGGGTGCAGAGGTGAGTGTGCAGGGTGGATGGAGACTGCTGAGCTGAGAATTTGGCTGTGGGGAGCTGCAGGGGTGTGAGGATGGAGTACGTGGTTAGTGTTTAATCTTCAAGAACATTTTTGAAATCCCATCACCTACCTTTTCAGTAGCTTATTTGGAACGAGAATCAGGCCTCAAAGATCAATCAGATAAGCCACATCCACTAATTTAAGAGTCTTACGGTCATTGGCAATTGGTCCCCACAGAGCTCCATCGTAACCATCCCTGCTAAACTTTGGGAAGCCCTGTGTTAAACCAGGGCTCCTCGGCTCTTTGGGGATGATGTGGAAGGTCCCATGACACTAAATCAATGAGTTCTCCCTGGCATCCTAACTGATGGTTATTCTTTAATCAACATTGCTAAACCAGATTAGCCAATATCACTAAACCAGATTCTCTGATCATGTGGTAGTGCTATTTGTGAGAGCTTGCTGTGTATAGATTGCCTTCTTTCTGTCATTCATTGCAGTGACGCCGTTTCAAAGTATCTTAAACGCTATTAAACATTTTGGTCTGGAGATGGTTTAAGGCACTGGATAAATGTGATCAGAAAGTGCTGGAGAAACTCAGCATCTGTGGACAGAGCAACGGAATATTCGAACAAGCCCCGTATTAGACTCAATTCTGTTTCTGTCTCCACAGATGCGCCAGACCTGAGTTTCCCGTGCACTTTGTTTTTATTTCAGATCTCCAGCATCTGTAATACTTGCTTTTACTGTATACGTTTGACCTTTCTTTACACTGGGTGGGCTTTACTTTTGGATCTGATCTTTTATGTGCCTGATGTGGAAGTGCTGTATGCTGTCATTGAATGAGGTAAGTGAGAAACATCCAGTTTTCTAGTGGTTAAAAACCGTAAATATTTCTTCGAAATAGTGCTGAAATGAAACGTGAGTTTAGTCCTGATTGTTCATCTCTCTCTAACATGCTGTGTGTTGCACAGGTGGCGGAAATTACATTCAACTTCTGGTATCGGCTGGCCGAAACTCTGCACAGGATGAAGGACCCCTCAGTGAACCAGATCTTCCGGCCTTATTTCCAGAGACTGACTCAGTCGCTCACCTTCCACTCCCAGATGGACCCTGATCACGTATGTCACCTTTGATAAGAAAGCATGCAAATGAGGTGGTGTATAGTGACTCCTAGCCCTGAACAGTAGCAAAATGTTGGAGATTATCCCAAACCAAAATTTCCATATAATTACCTCTCCCTAGACTGCCCAATGCACCCCTGTCTTTGTCTTTTAATTATTTTAATGTTCTATTGTTTGCATAGAAAGAGTTCAGGGAAGATGCGTGGTAATCTGGTAAGGATTAGATCAACACTGAGATCCTGTTGAGTAAATGAACATCATGAAGTGAACACTAATCTTTACCTTATCAAATGTGGGTTAAAATCCAGTCCTGTATTAATGGAATGAAAACGTACTGTACAGGGGCAGCTTCGAAGCCCTTGTATGAAGTGAATGTGGTCTCACTGCAAACAAAAACTAAGTTGTAGTACTGAATTAGCAAACGTGCTAAGATGCCACATGGTGGCTGATGTGGAAATGGAATAATGTCTGCAATGCTGCAATAATGGGAGCTTTATTCATTCATTGCTTAGGCGCATTGTTGAGGCTTGAGTTGAGGAAGCTTTCCTTTGTGCTTGTGGATACTGTACTTATCTGGATGTGCTCTATACTGATGCTGAATTCACAGAAATGTAAATTGTATTATTCCTCAATGTTAACACTTTGAGGAAATTCACCTGGTTTTGTAAAAATATTTTGTATTTAATTTGATTAATTTGATATTTTGCTGAACAAGACTATTGAAGTGTGAAAGGTAAGCTTTTCTCACACCTCCCAATGCAGTCTGCCATCGTTAAAGTTGCTGAGTTGAGATGGCTTCCCAGTGCAGAGATTTTGAAGTCAGTATCAGTATGTGTATTAGCTCCGTGCTGACTGAACTGTTTCCTTAACAGGAGGGAGTTCTGGACGAGACGGATGATTTTTACGAATTCAGACTCCGGGTCTCCGATCTTCTGAAAGATATTATATTCCTCATTGGAGCTTCGGAGTTCTTCTCACAAGTGAGTAAGGAACAATTTTCCCAAACATTGGTCCATACAGCTAGAAAGAAAGCAAATGAATAAAGTAAGACCCATTCAACACATTCATTCAGGCACCCTTTCCAACATCCTACTGTTAAATGCCTGAACTTACTGTTTGCGTGTTCACCTCTGCACCTTAACCACTCTGTGACAGCAGTCCAGAATGTACCTTTTTGTTCCACTAACTTCTTGTTCATGCGGTGTTTAGTTTAAAGCTGTTTTGTGAATACGTGTGGGAATTTTGGGTCCTCAATTGTATTGTTCTTTTCCAGCTGTATTCAACACTGAAAGATGGCAGCCCAGCCTGGGAAGAGACTGAAGCTGTGCTTTTCATCATGACTGCATTGGTGAAAAACTTAAACCCGTGAGTGAGAGATCTGTGGGACCGCGTGGCATAATGCTGTGCTTGTGGTAGTGCAGTGTGAGATTGGACTGGCTTTGTGGGGAGGAGCAAATGGTTTAATTCTGAAGGCACAACAGCATCCTCATTTCATCAAGTCATTCATGTTATTTGGAATGGTGGGTGTTACAGAATTTGACCATCTTTATTTTTGTGGGATAAAGTTCCACAGCTACCAGTAATCAGCTAACATGCAAGCCCAGATAGTGGCAACTAGGGAGGGTGTTGCACCTGAGTTTAGTTGCAAGGTTCACTGGATAGCAACAGGAAACTGGAGTAATGAGATAAGCCAACTCCATCTTTCCCACTCATTCTCCATTTTAAATTTTTTCTACCTTTCTTGAATATATCCCTGGATTGTACTTTGGTTTGATGGATTATGAGGTGACTGATGAGCCCAGGCAGTTGATATCTGAAGGGTTGTTTAGAGGTTCTTGTGCTGCTTCGGACACCTTGATTTGGTCTTTGCATGTTCCCAATGACATGTTGCAATGTGCTTGATGCTTCTCAAACAAGCCCTCTCCATTTTGGCTGATCACAAGCCAGCTTCTCCTGCGAATCAGTGGGGATGCTTCAGCTCTTCAGGGAAGCTTTGAGGATGTCCTTAGAGTCTTCACTTTCCTGCTGGGAAAATCCTGCTGTGACCAAGTTCAGACAAGCAGTTGCTTCGGGAGTCAGATGTCAGGCATACAATCAATTTGTATTCTGTGCAAGGTGCCTTAGGACAGAGGATACTACAGTTGAATGCTTTCCTTGCCAGTAAGCTGCAGTATGCTGCAATTCACATACTGATTGTACTCACTCTGCAAGAGCAGTCATGTTTTAGATGGAGCAAATGTGGACTGTTGTCCTGACAGAATCATTGCCAAACAGGAGACATCTCTAATCTTCTTCTTTTAACAATCTGTGGCTTAATGGACCAGTCAGATGAGCTGTTTATAGCTAGTCTCCTGTCTAAGGAGTGTTGTGAAATGTAGAGGAATAGTGTGATGGATGTACATTTGTTGGGTGGGGTCAGGGAGGGAGGGCAGGCAATGCTGCTACTGCTTGATGTTAAGTATCCATTAATGATGGTAATAACTTGACCTTCCTCTGTTCTCCCCATTTAAATCCCAATGTTGTATGTTTTTGGGTTGATTCCCTTTCCATCTAACTTTGGAAGGAGCATAGTTAATTCAATGTCTCACTTTGAACCATTGACCATACTGGTAGGAAAATTGTTGGGAGAGGACAGCACTAGTCTAGGATGCAGGACTACCTGTGATCACATATCTTACTGACACTCCCTCCCAACGTTCTGTATTAGTAGTGGCTACATGGGTGGAATATTAAAGTGTGTTAAGTAAACTTTGAAAAGGAGAAAGCTATTGAAAGGCTACAGAGCATTAATAAAAACCTGCTTAGAGTTATTCCAGCATCTCTCAAAAACTGTGTGAATGCAAGGTGTTGATGATGGGATAAACTGTCTCTACATGTACTCTGCTGATCTGCAGATGCCTCGGGTGGTGGCATTAATTCTGGTACCTAATGAGCCCAAATAACTTGGGGGAAAAGAAAACTTTTTGAATTTAGGAAAACTGATCTTTTTCTTTACACTTAGGGAAAAGGAACAAAGGCTGGGAAATGTTGTTCAGGCAGTAATCAGCCTCCCTGACAATACTCATCTAGCGGTACAACATTCTGGAGTCCAGCTGTTGGGTGAGATGGGCGAATACATCAACAGTGTGCGATGTCTAGGTGAGTATGGAGTTTTTTTTACCCTCCTAGATTGCCCTTGATGTATGAGATGCATTGCTCCTAAGTCAGTGTAGGCTGGAGTTATTCACCGGCAAAGATATGCCGTGATGACATACATCCTTCTGTCTGCCTCCATGGTATCGCAAAATTGAGGAGCCAGTTATCATGCCAAGAATTGAGAGGGTTGTATTTGCTTGCTGCACCTTGATTAAGTGCTGTGTATATAGCAGCATAGAGTTGTACAGCACAGAAATAACCCCTTTGGTCCAACTTGTCCATGCCAACCAGATATTCTACATTAATCTAGCCCAGTTTGCCAACATTTGGCCCATGTCTCTTTAAATCCTTCTTATTCGTGTACCCATCCAGATACCTTTTTAAATGTTGTAATTGTACCAGCCTCCTCCACCATCTCTGGCAATTCATTCCATACACATTACCTCTGCCCCCTAGGTCCCTTTTAAATCTTGCCCCTTGCATCTTGAACCTATGCCATGCAGTTTTGGACGCCTGAACCCTGGGAAAAAGACCTTGACTAATCACCCTATCCATGCCCCTCATGATTTTATAAACTTCTATAAGGAACCCCTCAGTCTCCGACGCTCCAGGGAAAATAGCTTCAGCCTATTCAGCCTCTCCCAAAGCTCAAACCTTCCAACCTTTCACTGCCCAGGAAATTAGAGATGCATTTGAAATGTGTGTTTATTTCCTCCAAACCCCCCTCCCAACACCCAGCATGGCAAAATAGCTTACTGGCTATTTCATCCTTGAAGAATAATCGAGGCAATTGAGAGTGACTGATGCTCATTGAACTGTGTCCCTGTTAAGATTAATGTCTTTGGGTGAAACGATTAAAATTTCACAGTGAATCAAATGGTATCTTGGTCAAAATTTTGTACTTCACCAATATCCATTTTAAGATGGTATGTTATTGTGCTGGTTTTATTAATTTTGACAGAAGTTTCTAAAGGCAAATTAGCCTTGAATGCTTAAAGCAGTCAATCAAAGACCTTAGTTAGATTGTCAACAGTCAGACAGTCCCCCCATCATGAAATATTTACACCTGATTTCCAGCATGAATTGCAATTAGGAGTACAACGTGTGAATAGATGAGTTAGGAGCAGGAGTCAGCCACTTGGTCCCTTGACTCTGCTCCACCATTCAGTATGACTGATTTGATTGTAACCTCGGCTCCACGTTCTCACCTGTCCTCAATAATCTGTCACCCCTTGCTTACCCAGAATCTATCTATCCTGGCCTTTTTTAATTTAAAAAAAAAAAAAAATTTCCACCATTGAAAGAAAAAATTGTCTTAAATAGGTGATGACGTAGTTTTAAACAATGACCCTTGTTCAGGATTCTCCCACAAGGGGAAACAGCCTTTCCTGTGCTATCCTGGCAGATACATGCCCAGAGCGTCCAACCTTTCCTTGTAAGACAGCTTTCCTAGCCCTCATTAGTCTGGTAAACCTTCTGAGTGAATTCTTGGCTGTGGCGTTTTCTCAAAATGCTTTGTATCAATCTTAAAAATAACAGATTAAACGTGTCAATCCTCTTGCTGCTTCTCCACTTAACTGCTGCTAAATTTGCTTACATAGCAAGTCATAATTTCCAGCAATCAATTGTATGTGATGCACTTGAGGACATCCCAAGAGAAAGGATAACGTGCCATATACGTTGCACATTATCTCTTTCTCCGGCCCCTTTTGCTTCCCATGGTATAGGGACATCTGAGACCCTTTGCAAAACCTGACTTCTCTGATTCTGTTCACTTACAACAGCATGTAGCACAGGCTGAATGTAGGACTTGCTGATTCTGTCTCATTGTTATGCTGTACGGTGTATTTCATCTTTTTAAACTTAAAACCCCTCAATCACTGTTGTTAAAGATTGTAGATGCCGATCCAGGAGTAAAGTGTCTCTGGGATGACATTTTATTGTTTCCTTCCCAGAGCTGGTGCTAAATTTCCTAACCCAACGCTTGAAACAGAAGGAATTAGCAAATGCAGCTGCCAACTCGATCCAGAACATCTGTGCCATGTGCAGCGACGCGATGACACGGCACATTGATGGTCTGCTGCAGGTCGCCTCATCCCTGGATGCCCTCCCTATTTCTTACGACTCCTCCATCGGTATTCTGCGAGGTACAGTAATAAATCTCTTACCACGGTGAGCAGCGTGAAATAGCCATGCCTTAGTCGTGACATACCCTAACTTGTGTGAGCATAGCTCTGAATGATGTGAGCTGGTTGCATTTGTCTACGAAAGAGCTGTTTATTTTAAGACCATCATCAAGCAAAGGAAAATACTGCTACTGCTGGAATTTTGTTTTATAAGTGAGTTTATGGGCTTTGGGTATCGCAGGCTTGGAAATACTTGTTACTTATCCCTACCTGCTCTTGAGAAAGTGGTTTGGAGCTGCCACCTTGAACTGCAGTCCTTGCAGTATAGGGGCACCCACAGTCGTGTTAGAAAGGGAGTTCCAGGATTCTGGCTGAACGATATGAAGGAGCAGCAATATTAATTCAAGTCAGGATGGTGTGTGGCTTGGAGGGGCTCCTGCTGATTATGCAGTTGCCATGCCTCTACCAACCTTTTTGTTCTAGGTAGTTGAGATTGCCTGTTTGAATGTCAAAGAAGCTTTGGTGAGTTGCAGCAGTGCGTCTTGTCAGTGATATGCCCTGCTGCCACTGTGATTCAGTGCTGGAAGGAATGATATTTTTTGAAGTTAATGGATGGGGTGCCAATCAAGTGGGCTCCCTTGTTCTACGATCTGAAATCAAATTAGAATGTGGTGCAAATGCTTAACCTAGAAGACAGCATTTGTGGAGGGGGAAATATTTCACTTTGGCTTTTCATCAGAACTCAATCCTGCTCATCATCCTAAAATATTAAAGTTTTCCGCCTTTGCAGCTGCTTTCTACCTTGCTGAGTATCTGCAGCATTTTCTGCATCATTCCCTCAGTCTATTTGCTAAATATTTTCTGTTCTATTTCAGTTTCTTTAGCATTGTTGACCCCAGACTCTGCTGATGTTATACATTATAGAACAAAACTGCACGTAAGGTAGCACAGCATGATGACGCACACAGTTGAATATCTCGGGTTGCTTGCACCATCACCTGTGACAGAACTGTAACCAACTTCGCCTGACTTCACCTGACTTCACCATAACAGTACAACTTAAAGTGCATTCTCCGGGTTGATCAGCTGTAGAAAGACAAACTCTAGTTGCAACTGCTGTGTGTTTCTGCCTGTAGAGTTGGATGTGAAAATTTCACCTGCTTGATTAGTTAAAATCCTAGTTACTGCTTCTGCCCTCCATGTACTGCCATCTGCTGTAACTCAGTGTCTGAGGCCCTGAACCCAAGATTAGCACGTTAGCAAGACAAAAACCCAAAATTCTCCTCTCTTGCAAGTGTTATCTTCATAAGTGGAGGAAAAGCCTTTTTCTTTGAAAAGTCTTGATCCCAGATAGTGAATCTTTCAGTCTTTTTGAATTCCCTGCCCCCTTAAGTAAAACTCTTCAGCATTTTGTTAAATAAGTTGGAAATGAATTTGCTTGAGTTCAACATGTTTCTAAATCAACAATATCCCTAACCTAGTGACACATCTGATAAAAATGAAAGATTAATTAAGCCTGGACTTAAAGCTGCAGTAACACTTTATTTTTCCCTCCTGCCCTGTCATTTTTCCTTCCCAGCTCCATTTTCCAACCTCTCTGATCACTAACTAATAGAGTTGTCTTGTTCTAACTCTTAATTTTTTGTTAATTCAAAGTTATAGCTAAGGTTAAAATAATTAATTACCTGTATGTCTTGATGTCTGTATATTATTACTAAGCCCCACGATTGGAAGTTTGACTTTTGGACTGTTGTGATTAATCCTTACTTGGCCTACCACTGCCCCAATTAGCCTCAGGATCCGTGGACAAGGAAGCGAGATGAGGGAAATATCAGGTCAGATTCCTGCTCCCGATTAACCTATAAGGCAGCATTAATGATTCACTAATAATTCCTGATCTACAGAGCTCTGTTGGAGGGCCTGTGCTGCGCAATGTTTGTGTGGCCTTCCTACGTGAGGAATGGCCAATGGGCTGGAGCCCCAGAAGGGGCTGAGGATGACTCTTGAAGCAATGCAAAGAATGAATCAAGCCCTTAGTTGGTGAAAGTATCAAACCAAGGTTGACTTGAGAAGAAATTTATCGTGATTTGTTTTGTCTTGGGTGAAATGCTATTCTTGGAGAAGGTGATATCAGCTTCCCTGTTGTTAAGTGATGAACACTCTTATTCTCACCAGGCATCTCCTTGGTATTGGCTCGGATGCCATCAGACAAAATCGAAGAGACCTTCCACCGCCTTTGTTCCATGCAGGTCACTGCTCTAAAGAAAGTAAGGAAAGTTGTGATTTCTTTTCCAAAACGTTCTTTTATGGAATGTGGGTGTATTTGTTTCCCATTTATAATTGCCCACTAACTGAATGGCTTGCCTGGCTATTTCAGAAGTCACTTAAGAGTCAGTCTTGCTGCTAAGAGTCTAGAGTCGCGCATGGGCCAGACCTGGTAAGGATGGCAGATTTCCTTCCCTAAAAAACACTGATGAATCAGATGGAATTTTAAGACAATTGATATTTTCGTGGTCTGATACTAGCTTTCAATTCCAGATGTTGTTGATTGAATTAAATCTCACCAAAAGTCTTGTTGGAATTTGAATTAGTGTCCCTGTAACATTGTTGGGATTTGCCACAATTCTGACCCTAGGTGGTGGTATAGTGAGGGAGTTCTGTTGGTGACTTCATAACTCTCCCTTTAGGTTAGCTCAGTTGGCTAGACAGTTGGTTTGTGATCCAAAGTGATGCTAACAGCATGGATGAACTCCCACACTGGCTGAGATTGCCATGAAGGACTCTCCTTCTCAATTTCTCCCCTCACCTGAGGCATGGTGACCCTCAGCTTAAAGCACCACCAGTCATCTCTGTCCAATGCGAGAACAAACCTATGGTCTGGTAAGACTATGGGGACGGTACCTTATCTTTAACCATCTCTTTTCTGAAGATTTGGGATCAAATTATGGTGTTGTACTTGTGGGGTGAGTTGTGTTGTTACAGCAGTGAGTGTTAACCCTATCACCTTTGTCTCTTGAAAGCTGCTGACATCTGAGCAGACCAACGGCATCTCAGCAGACCCAGCTATATGGTTGGATAGACTGGCGGCAATATTCAGGTATAACCACTGCTTTTTGCCTATGTACCTTTTTTATTCTTTAGGATGTGGGCACAGCTGGCAAGGCCAGCCTTGTTGCCCTTCACTAATTGCCCTTGAACTGGGTGGATTTTTAGGCCATTTCAGGGGGCAGTTAAGAGTCAGCCACGTTGGTGTGGATCTGGAGTCGCGTGTAGGCCAGACTAGGTAAGACTAGCAGACTTCCCTCTCTAAAGGACGCATCCCTTCAGAAGGAATTAAAAAGAATCATGTCTTCCAACAACCTAACAACTTCAACTCTGTTGCTACTCAGTAGGTAACAGCCTTGCCTCTGAGTCGGAAGACTCTGGCATAAAATCGAGGCTGACTTTCCAGAGTAGTTTTGAGGCTGTGCCACATTGTCATTCACCTGAGATGGAAACCTGAAGCTCTGTCTATCCACAGGTGGACATAAAAATTTCCATGACCCTATCCCCGGTCTGATGAGCATTTTCTCTCTCAATTGACATCGCCAAAAGAAAACGATCTGATCATTATCAAGTTGCTCTTTGTGCACAGCTGCTGTGCACAGAATTGATTGTAACACTTCAGAATGCTTCTTTAACTGCAGAAGGCTTTGGGACATCCTGTGGTCATGCAAGATGTGATGTAGATGTGAGGTTCTTCCTTTTAACTGTAATGTTGTCTATTTCTGGTGTGTTGGACTTTATTTCTGAAATAACATATTCTGCATCCACCTCCCACCACCATCTCACTCCTCATCTTCTCTTGCACTGACAGGCATACAAATGCAACAGTGGGAGAAGGGAGGCCCCACCCCTGCCAGAAAGTCATCCAGGAGGTAAGGTCACCAAAACAAATGTTTGTTATTTGTAAAGGAGGATATTCCGCAGCCAAGGTTGAAATAGAAAGTGAAATGCACACAAGGTCAGTCAGCATCTGAAGCAGGGTCATGTTCTGGGTGGGAATCATCATCAGAACACAGGGTCCACCTAGTGTGCTCATCCATCACACTGTATCTTTACAGCATTTTCTCATTCCTCAAGGTTCACTTTGTTTGTACCCATCTTCACTTTAAGTCACTGGTTGTAATGGGAGATGGCTCGACAGCACATCTTCTGATCAAATTCTGTTCGTTCCTAACGAATTAATTAGTTCTGAGGACAAAACTTCCCTGCAAACGGAGTAATTACTCCAATAAAGCTAGGTTTAATAGCTTGAAGGAGGCTGGAATAAAGAGATGGCCACACATTATATTTTAATTTCTGAGATTTTGCTTTTAATTCGATCGCACTGACAGAATAAAAGTCACCTTTCTGCTGAATCCCAGATGTTGTGGGGTCAACATATAGATTGGCCCCTTTGCTCAGCGCCGAATATGGAGATGGCCAAATAAGGGTGGAAATGCAAGGAATGCTCTGGAGAGGATTCTTCTGAGGTTGGGGCAGATTCAAGAGACGTCTAAGGGATCCTGATGTCACACATCTGAAGGCATATAATGGAGCTGCACCTGATTTTGCACACTTCATTCAGTCATAGTTCCACTCTTCCACATGCTGTATCACGTCTGGGAGTAGTTTGGTATAACGGGAGCAAGGCAAAATTTCTTTGGCTGTAAAGTCTCTCACCTTGCATAACACTTGTAATTCAAAGTTCATTTAAGATGAGTTGATTTTTTTGATTGCAGGCTGAGAATTGGTGAAAGTGGCTCCCAATGAAAGCTTTTCTACTTAAACTGAAATTCATCAAATCTTTTTGATTGCAGATCTGGCCAGTGATTTCTGAAACGCTGTATAGGCACCAAGCAGATAATAGGATGGCAGAGCGTTGCTGTCGGTGTCTGCGTTTTGCAATCAGATGTGTGGGTAAAGGATCCGCTATGTTGATTCAGCCCCTGGTGTCTCAGGTGTGTGTTTGCACCCATATCAGTCTATGTTTTGGCTCTACACTGAGTGCGATAAATAACTGGGTATGTGTGATAATTGATGAACCACAATCGAACACAAACTTTCTCTGAAACATGCTCCAAATCCCAGACAATTTTGGGCACTTAACAATATAATTCCAGGTTGAAGCCGTAGGCAGTCGCTACAAGAATAAATGCTGTAAATTGCAGGTATCTGTAAAGGAAAGGAGTTTGGATTGGCTTATTTGCAAATATAGGGGAATTGAGGAAATGACGGTTGGGAAGAGAAAGTGTGTAGAATTGCAAGTAGTTTAAAACCAAAGGTCTGAAACTAAACTGGAAAATTATTGTTTTGTTTGTGGTGCTCTATCTGATTTCAGTTGATTCAGCTGTATCTGAGGAGATTTGACAGTGGTTGCTGGTTGGATGTTTCCCCTTCTGGGTTACAGTTTAACAATAAAACTCTCATTTTAAGATGGAATTAAGAATTTCTTTTCTCTGACAGTCATGAGTTTGAAACTCTCTTCCTCAGAGTGTCCTTGGTTGAAAAGGAATGGGGATTTGAGGTTACAAACAAATCCTGCTGAATGGTGGGGTAGGCTCGAGGGGCTGATGGCTGCTTGTATAAGATAAGGTGTGGGGGTAGGAATTTTTGTGATACTCTGGTAGAATGAACTGTAATTACCTTGTGCATTTCTTGCTGTCTCTCCTCCCTTTCCTCTACCCAAGATGGTGAGTGTGTACCAGTCCCATCAACACTCCTGCTTCTTGTACCTTGGCAGTATTCTGGTGGATGAGTATGGCAGTGAGGAGAGTTGCACGCAAGGCCTGCTCGAGATGATGCAGGTTAGTTTGCTGACTTTTGTGTGCAAACACTTTATCGAAGTAAAGTCTTCTGTCTCAATCTGTTCTTGAGGATCCTACTTCAATTTGACCTAACCTCTTGGTTGTCAGCAATTTTGTAATCGGATTCTGGGTGATCCTGATATAGAATTTCAATTAAAAGGAGTATGTTAGTTTGGACGTGTAAAAATAAAACTGAGGAAGAGAGGATCTAAGGTCACTTCACAAAACATCTATGACCATGTAGTATTACTAATACATTCAGGAAATAGCCATAGTATGCTGATGCCCTATAGATTATTATTAAATCAACTACCAGCTACATTGTTATTCAAATCTTTTTATCTAGATTCCAAAGGTTCAAAATCCAAAAGTTATTACCATGCTTCCCGTAGAACAAAACTATTTCCCAATCACCACCCACTGACTTCTATTTTTCTGTATTGGTAGCTCTCTGTGACTGATTCCTGGGATATAAACCTTTACACCCGTTCACCAGCGTACTCCTGCTTCCTTCTGCTGGGAGTTGTCATTGGCAACCCCAATCATTGTCTGTCAACCAGCTGGATTCCTACAGGGGGCATTACAGCCGAACAATATCTCATCTGATGTCCTTCAGGAATTACTGGACAATAGTCGAGATCCCTGGCTGATTTTTCACACCCCACCCTAGTTCAATATCATTGAAGTTAACGATTGAGTCTCGTTTTCATAGAATCTCTACAGTATGGAAGAAGGCCATTCGGCCCATCAGGTCCACACTGATTCTTCGAAGAGCATCCCGCCTGGACAACCGCCTCCTGCTTAGACCCAGTACCCTATCCTCGTAACCCTGCATTTCCCATGGCCCACCCACCTAGCCTGTACGTCCTTGGACACTATGGGCAACTTAGCATGGCTGATGCACCATGGACTGTGGGAGGAAACCAGAGCACCGGGAGGAGGCCCTTGGAGATACAGGGAGAATGTGCAAACTCCACACAGACAGAGTCACCCGAAGGTGGAATCAAACCTGAGCCCCTGATGTTGTGAGGCCGCAGTGCTAACCACTAAGTCACTTTCAACACTGACTAGGAATGAAACTGGGATTCACTGGTCTGTCTATTCTCTGTATATTTATCTATGGATAGTGCTGTGAATTGTTAACACATTCGTACTTAAATGATTATCAAATGTTTTATTGCAATTCTTTCTTTCAGGCATTTTGTGGGCCAACATTCCAGCTGCTAGAACAACCTAGAGGTTTTCAGAATCATCCTGACACTGTGGATGACCTTTTTCGCTTGGCAACAAGGTAAAAGTCAGCTTTCACTCGCAGAGATAAAGGAATATTCTGCTTTCATCTACTTTTCAATTAATTGTTATCTCATAACGGTTGATGTGCAATAAAAAATAAATGACATTATGTTCATGAATTTGAGAAGGTTTATATGTGTATCTTTGCATGTAATCTCTTGGAATGAAGGTGACACTAACACCAAAGATGGAATTGAATCCAGGGGGCAAATTAGTCATGATCTTCATGTTTGGAGGGCCCAAATGGCCTACTCTGATTTATGTTCTTGTACTTATGGCAAAAATTTGTTCATGCAATCTTTTCAACACGGGGGTGTCTGTTGCAACTACTGTATGATCCTGGCTGACCAGAAAACTCTTCTGCTGTTACTGCCTGCCATAGGCATCTTGGAAGGATTTACAGATTGATAATTAACTTATTTGACTGTTGTGAACACGCCTTCTTTGGCAGTCAAGTCCTGAGGTGGAACTCAAACCCAGAGCGTTTGGCACTGGTAGGGATGCTACTACTGCACCACAAGCTTATGAGTATTTGGTAGCATCACAGAATAATGTGTGAAGAGATTCCTGTAATGGTCCCTTGTTGTGTCAGATGTGTGCAGCAAAGTGTAGTAGAACATTGCAGCACAGGAGCAAGCCCTTCGGCCCACCATGTCTATGCTGACCATGATACTATTCTAAACTAATCCCATCTGCCTACTCGTCATCTGTTTCCCTCTGTTCTCTGCCTGTTCATGTCTGTCTAAATGCATCTTAAATGTTCCTATCGTATCTGCATCTACTACCTCTAGCAACACATTCCAGGCACCTGTTACCCTCTGTGTAAGAATAAAAAACAACTTTCTTTGCACATCTCCTTTAAACTTTTCCCCCTCTCCCCCTAAACTGTGCCCCCTAGTATTTGATATTTCCACCTGGGAAAAAGACTCCAACTATCCACCCTATACAAGCTTCTCATAATTTTATACACTTCTATCAGGTCACCTTCAGACACTAACATTCTAGTGAAAGCATTCCAAAATTGTCCGGCCTCTCCTTACAGCTAATTCACTCCAATCAAGGCACCATCATAGGAAACCTCCTCTGCATCCTCTCCAAAGCCTCCGCATCCATCCTATAATGCCGCAACCAGAACTGTGAAATAGTTCTCCAAATGTGGCCTTTTACAATTGCAACATGACATGCCAACTTGTATATTCAACATCCTGACCTATGAAGGAAAGCATGCTCTCTGCTTCCTTTGCCACCTTATCTACTTGTGTTGCCACCTTCAGCGAGCTATGGATCTCTATATATTAATGCTCCGATGCGTCTGTCCACTTACAGTACACTTTCCTCTTGCATTTGACCTCCCAAAAACATGACCTGACACTTGTCTGGAGGAAACTCAATCTGCCATTTCTCCGTCCACCTTTCCAGCTGATCTATATCTTGTGCACCTTTTGATATCTTTCCTCACTATCCACAACTCCACCAATTTCAGTGTCATCTTTCCTTGATCTGCTTACGTAACTGTTCCTCTAATTCCAGCTGGCTATTGGGAGACCTATGGTATAACCATATCACCATGATTGAACCTTTATTATTCTTAAGTTTGTTTATTCTTTATGTTTCTCAATCCAGGTACAGTTAAACTGTAGAGAAGCTCAGTAGTGCAACCTGTAGGTCTGAAGAAGAGAGGCAAGGTTTTACTGAGTAAAAACCAAAAGAACTGCAGATGCTGTAAATCAGAAACAAAAACAGAAGTTGCTGGAAAAGTTCAGCAGATCTGGCAGCATCTGTGAAGAAAACAATCTGAGGAAGGGTCACCAGACCTGAAACGTTAACTCTGATTTTTTTCTTCACCGATGCTGCCAGACCTGCTGAACTTTTCCAGCAACTTCTGTTTTTGTTGTTGGTGTTATTGAGACTAGGTTCAGTAACTTTTCTAGTGTTCACATTGGGTTCTAGTTCCAGGGAAAAAGTGAGAATAGAGTGAGAAAGTGAAGCCGCAGAAATCAGCCACTAAATGGTTTGTCACTTTTGTTTTTGTAGAAGAACATTACTGGGTATGAGCGTCACTGGCAAGACTGAGGCTGACAATGTAATCTGAGTTTTCTTTGTGAAGTTTGTATAGAAGAACACTCTTCTTGTCAACCACTACAGTCAACATGGGAAGGAGCTCTTGTGATAGTTATCCTAAAAATACTTGAGGATTTTAGTGATGAAGGAGCCGAAGTACCTTTCCATGTTGGAATGGTTTCTGCATTTTGGAGGAATCTGAAGATGCGGATATTCCCATACGCCTGCTGTCCTTGATTTTCTGGGCGTTGGAGTTCAGAAATTTGCGGAGTACTTTTGAAGAGAGCATACCTTGATCTACCTGACAGATTTTGCAGATAAGCCACAATATTATTGAATATCAGAGCAGGACTGGGGAGTATGAGCAACTCATTCCTGCTCCCAATTCTTATATTTGTATTTAGCCTTTTGAGCCCATTTAGCCATTCACTGAGATTATAGCTGATCTTTTGCTTCAACACCATTTTCTAGCACTATTTCCATGCACCTTGATATTTTCGGGAGTAAGTATCGATTGTAAACAATACTTTAACATTGCTGTAAAGAAACATGTTGCTGAAGATTTTCATCCTCGCTCATCCAGAAAGAAACAAATCATGAAATTTGGCATTCTTATGTTTGCCCTGACAAGTGCAAGATGAAAAGGCTTTGGCAACATGTCTCTTTTCAGGCAAGGTACAAAAACTCTTCTGTGAGCTGTTTAGTTTATTTTCTTCACATCTTGCATTTTAAGTCATTCTTTGAATTTGATAATGTCAGTCATTTATACAAGTAGTTTTCTTCCAGCGCTTCTGATCTCCTGCACCTCAAAGTGGTTCACCCGAATGGACCAGGGGCCAGGGGGCGAGGATGAGAATAACAACTTTCCATCCACGCACAAGTAATCACAATAAACTCTCATATTGACATCTGTTGCCTCCCAAGTATTTATCTTCTAAAAATAAGAATTGAGCAAGTTACCCCATCACAATAACAAACTTCTTGCTTTCCCAGGAAGTGTTAGCTGCTGGGAAACTCTCTTAAGTGTTGGCCTCTGTGGGATCATGGTTCACTGAAGAATCTAAATTTATTTGATACTAGTCAACTGATGCTAATGGAGCAGTTTCTGAAAGGATGCCTGCAATTATGTTGAGTGCTCTTAACCCTTGGCTAACTGTCTAGTTAAATACAATGCAGTGTTTTTGGGAAGTTCCTAATGTTTGCATCTAGAATTAGAAAATTGATTCAATCTGGCACTTTCAAATTATTTTTGCTCATTGAATTGTGTTATTTAATATTCTGTCTTTTGGCTTTGTTACTTCAAAGCAGTGAGCAACTCCGAATTTCTCCTCTTGTACCTCAAAATGTTGAGCCCAGAAATCAGCACTTCTAAGTGACAAAACACTATTGTACATCAGAGATAGTAGGAACTGCAGATGCTGGAGAATCCGAGACAACAAGGTGCAGGGCTGGATGAACACAGCAGGCCAAGCAGCATCATAGGAGCAGAGAGGCTGACGTTTCGGGCCTAGACCCTTCATCAGAAAAGGGGGAGGGGAAGGGGGTTTTGAAATAAATAGGGAGAGAGTGGGAGGCGGATAGAAGAGGGATAGAGGAGAGGATAGGTGGAGAGGAAACAAACAGGTCGAAGAGGCGGGGATGGGGCCAGGAAAGGTGAGTGTAGGTAGGGAGTTAGGAAGGGGATAGGTCAGTCCAGGGAGGACGGACAGGTCAAGGGGGCGGGATGAGGTTGGTCGGTAGGAGATTGAGGTGGGAGGAGGGGATAGGTGGGAGGAAGAACAGGTTAGGGAGGCAGGGACGAGCTGGACTGGTTTTGGGATGCGGTAGGGGGAGGGGAGATTTTGAAACTTGTGAAATCCACATTGATACCATTGGGCTGCAGGGTTCCCAAGCGGAATATGAGTTGCTGTTCCTGCAACCTTCGGGTGGCATCGTTGTGGCACTGCAGGAGGCCCAGGATGGACATGTCGTCTGAGGAATGGGAGGGGGAGTTGAAATGGTTCGCGACTGGGAGGTGCAGTTGTTTGTTGCGAACCGAGCGTAGGTGTTCTGCAAAGCGGTCCCCGAGTCTCCGCTTGGTTTCCCCGATGTAGAGGAAGCCACACCGGGTACAGCCCTAAACCCCACCTCTTCCTCCGTTACATTGATGACTGTATCGGCGCTGCCTCGTGCTCCCACGAGGAGCTCGAACAGTTCATGCACTTCACTAACACCTTCCACCCCAACCTTAAGTTTACCTGGACCATCTCTAACACCTCTCTCCCCTTCCTGGACCTCTCTGTCTCCATATCGGGCAACCACCTAGAAACCGATATTCATTTCAAGCCCACCGACTCCCACAGCTACCTAGAATACTCCTCCTCCCACCCACCTTCCTGCAAAAATGCTATCCCCTATTCCCAATTCCTTCGCCTCCGCCGCATCTGCTCCCAGGATGAGGCATTCCACTCCCGTACATCTCAGTTGTCCTCGTTTTTCAAGGACCGTAACTTCCCCTCCTCGGTGGTCGAGAACGCCCTCAACCGTGTCTCCCGCATCTCCCGCACCTCATCCCTCACACCCCGTCCACGCAATAAAAACCAAAAAAGAATCCCCCTCGTCCTCACGTACCACCCCACCAACCTCCGGATCCAACGCATCATCCTCCGACACTTCCGCCATCTGCAATCCGACCCCACCACCAAAGACATCTTTCCCTCCCCACCTTTATCTGCTTTCCGGAGGGACAACTCTCTCCGTGACTCCCTTGTCCGCTCCACACTCCCCTCCAGCTCCACCACACCCGGCACTTTTCCCTGCAACCGCAGGAAGTGCTACACCTGCCCCCATACCTCCTCCCTCACCCCCATCCCAGGCCCCAAGAAGACTTTCCACATCAAGCAGATGTTCACCTGCACATCTGCCAATGTGGTATACTGCATCCGCTGTACCCGGTGTGGCTTCCTCTACATCGGGGAAATCAAGCGGAGACTCGGGGACCGCTTTGCAGAACACCTACGCTCGGTTCGCAACAAACAACTGCACCTCCCAGTCGCGAACCATTTCAACTCCCCCTCCCATTCCTCAGACGACATGTCCATCCTGGGCCTCCTGCAGTGCCACAACGATGCCACCCGAAGGTTGCAGGAACAGCAACTCATATTCCGCTTGGGAACCCTGCAGCCCAATGGTATCAATGTGGATTTCACAAGTTTCAAAATCTCCCCTCCCCCTACCGCATCCCAAAACCAGTCCAGCTCGTCCCTGCCTCCCTAACCTGTTCTTCCTCCCACCTATCCCCTCCTCCCACCTCAATCTCCTACCGACCAACCTCATCCCGCCCCCTTGACCTGTCCGTCCTCCCTGGACTGACCTATCCCCTTCCTAACTCCCTACCTACACTCACCTTTCCTGGCCCCATCCCCGCCTCTTCGACCTGTTTGTTTCCTCTCCACCTATCCTCTCCTCTATCCCTCTTCTATCCGCCTCCCACTCTCTCCCTATTTATTTCAAAACCCCCTTCCCCTCCCCCTTTTCTGATGAAGGGTCTAGGCCCGAAACGTCAGCCTCTCTGCTCCTATGATGCTGCTTGGCCTGCTGTGTTCATCCAGCCCCACACTATTGTACATCGTATCAGCACTGTTTCAGTCCACATCATTTGGCCACTATGCCACCCTCTCAGTGAAGCCACAGTCTTGTTTTGGGTGAATGGCCATGCATTGACTTTTCAGTAGAGACGGTGTGATCTTGATATAATTGGAAATCTTTGGATTTGTCCTGTCCATCTGTACTACACCCCCGGAATGTAATGTGATCATCACAAACTAACAGTCAAACCTAGCCCCTCCAGGCCCATGTTTCAATGACACACAACACAGTGATCTGTTGAAGAACTTATAAGATGTTCAACAAATTCAATTAGGACTTGTATTGATCTAGAGCCTTTGACATAATGATCTGTCCCCAAGGTGCTTCACAAGAGCATGAGAAAAACAAAGTATGACGCCAAACCCAGTGAGATCGTAGTTCCACTAAGTGAGGGATTGATCAGAGACATAGATTTTAAGGAATATCTTTAAGGAGGATAGCAAGGTAGAGAAAGACAGGGGTGTGGATTGGAATCTTAGTGATTTGGATTTTATTGTCACTTGTACTCAAGTACTAAAGTGTATATTGTTGCCACAAATGGTGCCATCTTAGGCACAAAGGTACCTAGGTGCAAAGTAGTAAAAGAAACAAAGTTAAAGTAGTTAAGCATTGCCTTCATAGAATAAGTAGAAAATAAAGAAATAAGGTGACAGTTAACATTAAAGACCTTCTTAATATAAACTTGAATTCCAGAGGGAATTGTGGAGCTTGGACCTTAGGCAACTGAAGGCTCATTGCCAGTCATGAAGTAATTTGATCGAGGTTGCAAAAGAGGTGAGAATTAGAGATCTTGAGGTGTTGGAGGGGTTTGAAAGCAATGTTTTTAAAAACAAGGTGTTACTCAAACAAAGGCCACTTTAGATCAGTGAGCATAGCGGTAGTGGAGAAATGAGACTTGCTGCAGATCATGACATGGGCAACAAGCTTAGCATGACCTTGAGCTCATGGACTTCAGCTTGTTAAAGTTTGTTAATTTTGCCGTAACGCTAATGAAAATATAATTTACTTTCACATAAATTAATGGCTAGTGAAATTAATAATGTGTAGCTTCATTGTGGTTTACATATTAAATCTGCTGCCAGAATGGTACTGTGCTGTGTAGGCCATTAGATCCTGCACTCAATCCCTGGTCTATACTAATTCATTTGGTCACCTTGAGGATGGCTGTAGGTTAGTTCATTTGCCCATGGTTGGGCTAAGATGGTGAAAGATCAGCCAGGGCTCATTCTTTATCATATGAGAAGGGGAATGGAGTATAAAAGCAGAACAGCCTTGCTAAAACTATACAAGGCAGTAGTCAGACCACAAACTGAATACTGTCAACCACTTTGGTCCCCTATTCTGGGGAAAGGTATATTAGAGGCAGACCAGAGAAAGTTCACTAGGTTGATCTTTGGTATGGAGGGACTGTCTTATGAGGCAAGGTTGAGTACATTGGGCCTGTACTCATTGGAGTTGAGTAGAATTTGAGGTGACTTTATTGAAACCTTCAAGATTTTTAGGAAAGGCTGTTTCTCCCTTATAGGAGAGACTAGGACCAGAGGACGTAACTTCAGAATAAGGGATCACACATTTAAGGTAGAGATGAGGAGGGACTTCTGAGTGTAATGAATCTGTGAAATTCTTTATCACAGAGGACTGTTGAGGCCGGTTAGTTAAGTATATTCAAGGTTGAGATAGATTTTTAATCAGTAAAGAAATTGAGGTGTATAGGAAGAGGCTGGAAAATGGAGTAGGTGATTATCAAATCAGCCATGATCTCATTGCATGATGGAGCAAACCTGTTGGGCTGAATAGTCTACTTCTGTTTCTGCATGTTATGGAGAAGACATTGGGTTATGGGAGGAACATGTCGCCCTATAATGACATCTACAATTCAACTGCCTGCTGATACTCTCAGTAGAAATGCATGAAGTAACTTAAGCGTGGCCTTTAAGACTAGGCTGCAAGACAATTTGCACTTTAGGTACAGGAACGAATAACATGTAAAATAGTTGCCAAAATTGATGTTTTTCTCTGCAGATTCATTCAGCGAAGTCCAGTTGTTTTGATCCAAAGTCCAGTGATGTCCTTAATCATTCGATGTGCATTAACAGCAACAACACTGAACCACCGTGATGCCAACTCTAGTGTGATGAAGTTCCTACAGGATCTGGTTCATGTAGCAACAATCAATAAGGTGAGTTTGAATATCCACCCAAAGGCACAAAACAAACATAGTTTCAAAAGACAATCTCTGTTGGTTGGATTCCCTCTCTTGCTCCAGAAGTAGAGACTGTACCACTCAGTTTAGTTCAGTGGTTCCACTCGTGGGTCCCATAATCAGCAGGCAAAATCCTTCCTCCAAGTAATGTTCTGTCTGACCTCTGCTGTGCAGGAATGGCTTTCTTTTCCTTGTCCGTTGTCATGTAGCCACTCATTTGTGCATCGTAATGGGAGCATTGCTTCTCCTCAACTCTCTTGTTCACTGTGCACCGTGTTCCCAATTGCACTGCTCCTGCACCAGCTTGGACCAGTGTTTCCAAAACCTTTTCCTGTTGCAACCCCATTTCAAGTCTTGAAACTTGCTGTGACCTCTTGACAAGAACTACATGAGCTACAAGGTGAGGGGACTGGCCATTCTCTGCCTCTGAACTTGTGACCCCATTTGGAGTTCTAATCCCCATTAGTTGAACAACCTGGCAAGAAGTGAACATTTGGCCCAAACTTCAGCTGCATAATCTAGACTGATGCTGAGGTGTGGAAATGACAGTGTTGCAATGTCAGAAATACTGTCTTTTTCTTTCAGATAGTGTTAAATCTGAGTATCCCTTTAGGCATCCATAAGATGATCCTGTAGAGATATTTGAAGGAAAGTGAATGTCCTGCCCATGTATATTCCTTGGCCCAACACCTCCAAAAACTGAAACAAAAAGTAGCAATACCTGGGAAGTCTCAGGAAGTCTGGCAGCAGATGTGGAGAGAAAGTAGAGTCTACGTTTCATGTCCAGTGAAGAGTCAGAAGATGAGTCACTGGACCCAAAATGTTGACTGTGCTTTCTCCATCTATTTTAGTTTTTGTATCAGATTTCCAGTATCCACAGTTAGAGTAATGCAACACGGAAACAGACCTTTGGTCCAATTCATCCATGCTGACCTAGTTTCCCAAACTAAACTAGTTCCATTTGCCTGCATTTGGCCCATATCCCTCTAAACCTTTCATATTCACGTACCAAGCCAAACGTCTTTTAAGTGTTGTAACTGTACTTGCATCTACCACTTCCTCTGGCAGTTCATTCCATAACGAACCAACCATATGAAAAAGTCACCCCTCCGTTCCCTTTTTAAATCTTTTCCCCCCTCACCTTAGCAATATGCCCCTTAGTTTTGAATTCACCCACCTGCGGGAGAAGAGCTTTGCTATTCACCTTAACCATGCCCCTCATGATTTTATAAACCTCTATAAGGTCACCCCTCCCCCTCCTATGATCCAGGGGAAAAAAATGTCCCTGCCTGTCCTTATAATTCAAACCTTCCAGTCCTGGCAACATCCTGGTAAAGTTCTTTGTATGACCACCAAAAACCAATTTAGGTGATTGTTTATTTTGTTGACTGTGGGCCAGGAACTCTCACTTATCTATATGCAACGATTTATTAGCTGTGAAGGACTTGGCAAAGCTGGAAACTGTGTAATTCCAAGTTTGCTTTTAATAACAGGGGAAAAATAGTCATTTTCTGCTTTTTTTTTGATATTGCTAATCACTGAAACTTCAGTGTCTACTCAACTCTCTTTAAAATCACTCCTTGTGTCATAATATCTCCTCACTTAGCTTGGTGTCAAATATTGTTTGACTACTGCTGAGAAGCAGCTTGCACTGTTTTACTATGTTAAATGCGCTATATCAATGCAAGCTGTTGATGAAGTTGGTGTTCTTACTTATAATGATTAAAGCCTATGGCCTTCGAGGGGCAACTCAGGTTAGTCATATCAGCAGAATAATGCATCACATCTAAAGTATTGTACTGCTGTCCTTTTCAAATCAGCATGTCCTCTGATGCTGCCTAAATACAGCAAAATGTCAACTAAGGCTCCCTTAATCATTTGACCGTATGGTAACATTATACTTGTTGGCACATTTTAGCACAAAGAAGATTTTGAGCTCCGGAAGAACCTGGTCCATGGATTTCTTGGAGAGAGCGGAGCACTGCTTGTGGCACAGCTTGTGCAGGCATGCTGCTTCTACCTTGTACCGAGCATGCTGGGCAACGTGGCTGATGTCATGTGGGAACTCCGCATTTTTGACCGGAAGGTGTGTAGTGGGAACCAATTGGTCTAATTCACGTAATGCCTGTTACTTTTTCCTGGCTGTTCTTGAAGGCTTGGTAGGTTAATGTACTGTATAGCTCAATAATCAGTTACACAATCTGCACTCATTAATCATAATGAAATTTTGGCTGCAGGGCAAGGGAAGGATTGGGCCAAGTTCATAGTCATAGAGATCTACAGCATGGAAACAGGCCCTTCAGCCCAACTTAGCCATGCTGCCCAGGTTTCACAATTAAACTAGTCCCATTTGCCTGCGTTTGGTCCATATCCCTCCATACCTATCCCATCCATGCACCTGTCAGTATGTTTCTTAAATGATGAAATTGTACTCACTTCCACCACTATCTCTGGCAGCCCTTTCCAGTCTCCCTGTTAATTGCTATCTGATGTGACATGTTGCAAGTACATATGCATGGATAACAGGTAAAGAGACGCTGGGGTTGATGCTCTGTGTCCAAATGATCAAAGTATTTGGAAAGCATCAACACAATGTCGACTGTTTATGCTTAAAGTCTAGCATCCATCTGACTATGCCTTCAACTCAATGCATTATCCATTTGAAGGAAAGCGGCTGATCCATTTGTGTAATTAAACAATTTCTAAGTAGTTGTTTCATGGGATCTGGGCAGCATTGGCTGTATGAGCATTTGTTGCTCATTCCCAATTGCTTCAGAGAAGGTAGTGATGAGCTGCCTCCCCTTGAACTTCTGTAGTGCATGTAGCATAGGACACCCATAGTGCTGTTAGGGGGAGAGTTCCAAGATCCAGCCATGGTGAATGAACAGGGGTATCATTCCAAGTTAGGATGGTGAGTGGCTTGGAGGGGAACTTGCAGCTGGAGGTGTTCCCTGCATCTGTTGCTATTGTCCTTCAATGTGGAAAATATTGATGACTTCTCCTGATCTCCATCACATGATGCATCACTTGTGGGAGTGAGGGAGAATCAAAAAGCCTGCTGGATTAGGTATGGCAAGGTGATGGGTACAGAGTCAAGGTGGATAGGTGGGGTTGAGGTGTAAGTTGGGCCATGATCTAACTGAACAGAGGAACATGCTTGGGTTGAATGACCTGCCTATGTTCTTATGCATGTTATTGAATGTTGCAGAACTGTTGGCCAGTTGACTAATATTGTGTGTGTGTTCTGCAATAAATAATGGAAATGGTTCAGATGGTTGACCTCACAAAGTGGAAGGCTGAGAAGGGTATTACTGTGAACTGCATATCTTACATTTCTGTCAACCACCATCGATTCAACCAAATTGCTGATGGTAGTGTGTGGTGAACAGGTAGGTAATTCTCGCACTCCCACTTCGTGGCCAGTTTGGGTTGGGATGGCCAGTATTGATGATCAGCTGTTTGTCACGGAGTTGCTGCAGTAGTTTGAGTTCATATCATGTGCCTGGTGACTGTAGACTGTGGAATTGCTAGATAACATACAGCTAAAACATTGCAAGTTCTTGTGAAGCCTATCTGCAATATTATTTGTACATATTCCTCTGAGTGCCTGCCAGGTTATCAATAACCTGTTTTGTTTTCTGTATTTGTGAAAGTAGACATTCTGTGGGTGGCTGGAAGATGCTCTCAAAGCCCTCCCGAAGGAACTTTCGGCTGGAGCTATTACAGCTACAGAGAAGCAGATGACAGAGTTCCATAAACAGGTCATGTGGTAAGTGCAAGTGCTCCTAACTAGTCATAAATTAGATAAGATCAGTGATGTTATTGTCTCACACAGATCCTGCAGTAGATAGAAAAAAGAACTTGCAGATGTATAGGTTTCACACTATTCAAGCACCCCAAAGATTATTAAGTCCTATTTCTGTTGTAATGTAGGGAAATGCAGCAACCAATTTGTACCTACTGATGTCCTATAAACAGTATGATAAATAGCTAAATCTGTTATAGTGATAACTGCTCGATAGATATTGGCCAGGGCACCAGAAATAGTCAATGATCTTCAAATAAAGCTATGAGGTGATTTATAATATGCCTGAAAATTTTCTTTAAAATCTTATTCAAATGCACGCTGATGTAATAAGCTGATTGTGAAATGGGCTTAGCAGTACTTTTACATGTAATTGTATCTTCATGCCTCCCAGTGGACAAATTTGAGTTTATTTAGCACATGGCTGAGTTATAACTGAGCGGTACTTGGTTTGATATATCACCAGTGATGAAATACCAACCGTAGTGACATTGGGCTAACTTGTCACTGTAGTACAGAGGAGGTGCTGCAATGTCAGAGATGCTGTCTTTTGAACGAGACAGTAAAAGGAGGCCCTATTTCCTCACATGGAAGGAAAAGAACACAGTACTGCTTCAGAGAAAAGCAGGATGTTATCCTTGGTGTCCTGGCCAATATTTATCACCGACTTACCATTATAAATAGGTTATCTGGTCATTATGAAATTGTTGAGAGTTTACAGTGCAAAATTGGTCACCAAATTTCCTTTATTGCAACAGTAGTGGTCCTTGGCATTGGAAAGTCGTAAGAGTACAGAAGAGATTCACAGAAATGGTTCAAGAGGTGAACTTGGAGAAGTTAAGACTGTTTGCTTTGGTGAAGCAAAAGTTGAGAGGGGATTTGACGGATATTCAAAATCGTATGGGGTCTGGACAGAGTAGATAGGGTGAAACTCTGCCCAATAGTGAAAGGATCAAAGATGACAGGGCACAAACCTAAAGTAATTGACAAAAGAAGCAACGTGGTATAGGAAAAATCTTCTTCTCACGCCAAGAGTTAACGTTGGGAATGCACTGCCTGAGTGTCTCTGCGAGTGAGGAATGCGCAGTGTTACAGAGAGAAGCAAGAGAAAGGCACCAAATGAATTGCATCTCAGAGAACCAATGCAAAAGTAATGGGCCAAATGGCCTCTCCATGCACTGTAACAATTCTGTGATGCTTTGACTTCCAAGTGCGTAATTGGCTGTAAAGGACTTTGGAACATCTAGTGGTAAGCAAAGGCAGTCTTTCTTTTCACTTGAAACCCCTACCTTTTCAAAAAAAAAACATATGTCCAGCTTAAACATGCCACCCAGTTCATCTGATCCACACAAAAGCCAAAAGAAATGCAGATGCTGTAAATCGGGAACAAAAACAGAAGTTGCTGGAAAAGCTCAGCAAGTCTGGAGGAGTTCTGAGGAAGGGTCACCGGACCCGAAAAGTTAACTCTGATTTTCTCTTCACAGATGTTGCCAGACCTACTGAGCTTTTCCAACAACTTCTGTTTTTGTCATCTAATCCACATCTGGGTTAATGCTTTATACCAGTACACAATCCTTTTCCCAAACTAAGTTAGATGATCAGCCATGATCATAATAAATGGTGGAATAGGGTCAAAGGACCGAGTAGCCTACTCCTGCTCCTGTTTTGTGTTTTCACAACATCCAGCCTTTTTCTTAATCTTTTAGGATACATTGTAATACATCTGTGGTTGGAGGGTGATGACTTGAAACAAGACCTTCTGACCTAGAGATAAGGACAGTACCACTGTACCATCAGAACTGTAGAATATCCAGTCATCTTTGACATAACTCATGGCTATATTTTGTAACATTAAAGATATCATATAAGTGCAATTTTAAAGTTTCAGCAGTCGAGTTTTAGAGAGAAATTTTTTAAACATCAAATAAAGCTCTCTACTCTTTGTTCTTCCTGCAGCGCTGAAGATGCTACAATGATAGGTTGGTCCCTGATGGAATTCTCTGGGTTCTACAGGTAACACCATGAAGTCACCAAGGAGGTATGATGTAAGTATCTTTCCCAAGCCCTGCGATAATGTTTAGTTCGTCTGACCTGTAGAAACTGCCCATGGACACACACGCATTCTCCCACGTCAAGAGTGATGAAATGACTTGGGCTAGGTGCCTAGGTTGTCGAATACTTGGGAGTCAGCCGAGGAAGGACATTTTACGTTCTGTTTCCTCATACTACTTTGTGGCATTAGGAATCTCCCCAGCTGCTAACAGACTGAGTTTGAAGCCTTGAAGTTTCACTGGCACCAGAGCTCCTCCTGAGCTCTTTGCCAGCTGGGTCTAGCAGCAAGATAATGCATGGTCTCCAAACCAGCAGGGAATATTTTTTCAAATGCACTCAAGTTTAGAAAATTGATGGGCCTAGGTAATGAGAATAGGAAGAATGTCTTCCTGATCTGTTGTTAACCAAGAGCATGGATATAAAGTAATTTTCGGAAAGATTAGAGGAAGATTGTGTGTTTTTAAAAATAATTACTCTGGCTGTAGGTGTCTAGAATTCAATGCTGGAAAGGATGCAGAAGCCCTCATTGCAATTTAAAACAAAAAATTTGAGTATTGAAACCAGTAGGGGTGTGGGCCAACAGCAGGAAGGTGAGATTAGAAGTTGGGTGGCTCTTTTGACCAAAAGGGTAAGGTGAACCAAAAGACCTCCCCAACTGTAAATCTCCTGTTTCTGGAATAATTTTAATCCCCCTTTTAACATTTTCTTCTACAAAGGTGGGGATTGCTTTAAATGAATGTTCCTTCAACCACCTGCCTCCCTTATATTGTGTCAGAACATGATCAAGCTGCAATGTTTTTAATCAATCCTGAGTTAGCTCTGACTCAGCGTGACAGCCTTCCTGCTGAGCAGCCGACAGACTCGGTCTGTTTGCACTGCTACGGCTGTCACTCCCCTCAGCTGAGCATTCTGTGCCAACTCCCTCGTTTTCTTTACTCTTTGAAGACGACCCACAGAAGGCAGCTAGCAGGAATGTTTGTGGTCGGCCTGGGTGGAGAGCAACACCGTTCCGAACTGATGTTTCGACCATTTAAAATCCCAAGCAAATGAGCTGCCTTCCTGTCTCCTAATGCACTCAGCCATTAATGACGCCTGGATATAAACACAGGCGGCATCCAGGAAGCTTAATAAATATTAACTTCAGAAATGGCCAGCTTGTTTTCCTGTACAGTTTAAATCTCATCCAAAAGTACAAGGTTTACAAGAAGAATAAAGCCACCAATCCCCAGCTCTAAATTGCAGGCTGAATCGTTTTAACATGAGGAGGAGTCCCTGTTCACTGACACACAAGCTGTGATTCATACACATGTTCAATATGATTAAGTTGACTGTTTGCGGTGGTTCAAGGCTACACAGACTAGGAAAGTCCCTAAACCAGTGCCAACTCGGCTGATTCACAGTCGGGGTGGTGGGGTGGGCCTTGGAAAAGCAAAATAATTAGCAAGATTTCCTGATCACTATCCCCTTGAATAAAGTTTGCAATTGTGCACGTCTCACTGGGTCCATGAGTGAGAATACCATAAGTTCCATTTCCCAAGTGTCTCTTTACCAATTATCCATTTAGCTTGTAGAGAATTGAAGTGAAATTGTTCACTTGAAGAGCACCAAAATATAATTTAAGATTTGAGCTGCGTAGTTGGATCTTGCATTTTAGATGTGACCCATTAGATGTCATATTTAATGTGTGTTTCTACTTTGAATTCTTTTTATGCAATCTTGTAAGAAACATGAGATGTGGGCTTTCCCCAGAATGACATGGATCTGGTGATGTGTGTCAACTTGCTGTGCTCATCTCCGTCATTTGATAGGTGTCTCATACTTTGCCCAAGTGGCCATTTTTCATTTGAGCCGAGTTAGGTTTTGGCAAAGGAACTCAACTGTGAAAACATTGAGTCCACCTTCGATCAAAATCTCAGCTGATGCCAATGAGCGTGCAGTCTGCATTAGGGATCAAAGGTACTGACTGATTTTCATTTTTTTTCCCAATATCCCTGATTCAAGGTTGATCACTTGCAACCCTCACTGATACAGAACCTTTGGTGGATCAACTAACCGAGTTCAGGGCCAAGTCCGATTGGTCAAGCTGAATTGGACACATTTTTTACCAAGCAAAGTTATTGAGGAAGATGCAGATAACACTTGAGCTTTCATCTGTCCTCCCCTCCTGTAATGATTCCCCTCCGTGCACTTGGGTTTTTGTTGAGGCTGAATGGCAGACAGAGGTTATCCTCTCTGTGCGGGATAAAAATATACATCAGCCTCAAGTAGGTCATCAGTAGGCTGCTGCCTGATCCCATTGTATCCTTCACACTTAGAGAATCTCTACTACTGCCTTTGCACATCCTGTTGGCATCTCAGCCTTACACTGAGAAGTAATTAGGCAATTCTTGTCCCTTGACTGTCCCATAGAACCATTTTAAAAAAGCCCCTATTTTGGAATGTGCATTTCGTTGACAGGTAACATCTGTCCAAATCCCAGTCAATAAAATCGCATTGTATTGTTTTGACTCAATTATGTGAAGTGACTATGATTTATATCTATGACAAACTATATTACAGTGCTGCTTGACTCCAACTAACATTACATCCAAAACTCCCCCCGGTTTTGTGGCACAGAAGGGACAACCCGGTCCATCATGAAACCAGCCTTCCTTCCATTGACTCCATCTGTACTTCCCATTGCCTTGAGAAACAGCCAATATGATCAAAGACCCCTCCCTTCATGGTTATATTCTTTTCCATCTTCTTCCATCGGGCACGAGATACAAAAGTTTGAAAACACTTACCACAAGTGGCAGCACAGTGGTTCAGTGGTTAGCATTGCTGCCTCACAGCGCCAGGGACCCAGGTTCGATTCCACCCTCGAGCGACTGTCTGTGTGGAGTTTGCACATTCTCATGTCTGCATGGGTTTCCTCTGGGTGCTCCGGTTTCCTCCCACAATTCAAAGATGTGCAGGCTAGGTGGATTGGCCATGCTAAATTGCCCATACTGTTCAGGGATGTTTAGGTTAGGTGGGTTATTGGGAGGGAATGGGTCTGGGTGGGATGGTTTGAGGTCGGTGTGGACTTATTGGGCCAAAGGGCCTGTTTCCACAGTGTAAGGATTCTATGAACAGATTTATGAACAGCTGCTTCCCCGCTGTTATCAGACTTATGAACCTCTTCATACATTAGAGTTGAACTTTCTCTGCACCTTCTCTATAGCTATAACACATATATTCTGCATTCTGTTCTACTACCCTGATCTACTAATATAGGGTATGATTTGCCTGGAAAGCATGCAAAACAATACTTTAATTGTATCTTGATACATGTGACAATAATAATTCAAATCATTTGGCCCATCATGTCTGTATTAACTTTCCAAATAAGCATAATGACTTGGTGCCATTCCCCTGTCATTTACCCACATTTTTCACATTATTTTGAGTTAAAATGATCGTCTAATGCTGTCTTGAATGCCTCCATTGAACCTTCCTGTACCACACTCGGGCAGTGATTCCAGACCCAAACCATTTGTTGTATGAAAAGTTTTTATCTCCCTTCACATTTACTGTTTTGCAAATCACTTTAAACCCATGCCATCTTGTTCTGATTATTGTATGATTGGGAGCAGTTTCTCCCTATCAATCAGGACTCCTCATAATTTTGAAAACTTCTGTCAGATCTCCTATTAGCTGCCTCCTTTTCAAGGAGGATGTTCCGAACCTCTCCAATCGATCATCATAACTGAAGTTTCTCACTTCCTGGAACCATTCTTGCAAATCTCTTCTGCACTTACTCCCATGTGTTCACACCCTTTCTATATTGCAGCACCAAAACTGCACTCAATACTTCAGCTGAGGTCTAACAAGTATCCTGTACAGGTTAAGCATTACCTCCATGCTCTTGTACTTTATGTCTCTATTAATAAAGCCGAGGGTGTTGTTTGTTTTATTAACTGCTCTCCACTTGTCCTGCCACCTTCAATGATCTCTCATTTCTCTCCCTCTCTCTCTGTGTCTGTCTCTCTCGTTTCTTTTTTTTCTCTCTCTCTCTGTCTCTCTCTCGTTTCTCTCTCTGTCTCTCGTTTCTTTCTTTTTCTCTCTCTCTGTCTCTGTCTTTCTCTCTGCCTCCCCCTCCCCCTCCCTGTCTCTGTCTTTCTTGCTCTCTCTGTCTCCCTGTCTGTCTCTCTCTCTCTGTCTCTGTCTGTCTCTCTCTCTCTGTCTCTGTCTGTCTCTCTCTCTCTGTCTCTGTCTGTCTCTGTGTGTCTCTCTCTCTGTCTCTGTCTGTCTCTCTGTCTCTGTCTGTCTCTCTCTCTGTGTGTCTCTCTCTCTGTGTGTCTCTCTCTCTGTGTGTCTCTCTGTCTCTGTCTGTCTCTCTCTCTGTCTGTCTCTCTCTCTGTGTGTCTCTCTCTCTGTGTGTCTCTCTCTCTGT